CTTTCCTACAGCTCTTGCTTCCTATTGAAGCAGATTTTCTTTCCCCAGGATAGAGCAGCGCAGGGAGTGCCATAAACTCCCTCTTTCCATAACTTTTTTTTTTTTTCCCTGAGCTGCTATTGGAGTCAATAGGAAAGTCTTACCCAATCACTATGGTCACACACATGCTGCAACTGCTCCAACAATTATACTGCAGGGTTTCTTGCTGAAGATGGCTACTGATAATTTGGTTTTAGAGCTACACACTGGTACTGTCGGGCAGCAGGGATGATGATTGTGCACAACAGTGGTTTTGGTCTCTGGTCACTCTCATAGCTTTCAAAATTATTTGGTAGAGACAGATCATGTTGATAAATACAGGAGTTAGCTTGGCAGTGAAGCTGCCTCTTAAACACTTTAAATAACAGCTTTGCATTTACTGGAATTATTCAAAAGAAACAACTTTTCTTTCTCCTCAGACATGCTGATGATTTAGTGTTATCTCCCATTCAAAAGTCAGGATGGCAATATTAAAAATCAAAAGGTTCCAAATCAGTAATATTTTTCAGCTGAAAAGTAAGTCTAAAGTCAGACATCCTGCATTGCTGAATATTCTGAAACTAAATAGCCTTTGAAATAACATTCTGAAATGAAAACTTTCATTTAGGTCCACTTTTCCCCATCATTTTTCTTTCATCAAGTAAAAAAATGAAAGACCAACAGCACAAGAAAAAAAATCTCAATTTTATCAACTTAATTTCTTCTCAATGGGATCCACTCTTTTCTGTTCTGGAGGTCATACCATCACCATGGTATGATCCCTGAAAACCCCGATCTGCTCAATGTGCAAGAATCCTTTCAGAGCTGCAGCCTTGCACCTTGCAGGCTGGGGGTGGGACCTGGAGCTAATGACTGGGTGTGGAAATGCAAGTGGGAGCAGGATGGGAGGACAGTGAATTTCCATCTCTGAAATTATCCCCACCCCACAATACTCAGGGCCAGGGTTCCACACAGTGCCCTGCATCTGTGTGTGAGTGGAGCATCAGGATGGACCTGGTCCCCAGTGGAGTTTGCTGCTGCCCACCCCTCTCCCCCCCTTGGAACAACCTGCCAATATTTTGCATTCATTCTAAGGTGAAAAAAAGGCATTAATCTGGCACAGCCAGCAGTCTCCCTGTGTTAGTGATTGAGTGATAAGTTGTGCAGTGGTTACACAACTGGGCTGCGTCTGTGGAGCCAGGGCTGCTGGGTTTAATCTCCTGCTCAGTCACTGACTCACCACGTAGCCTGGAGAACATCATTTCACCTCTCTGCACATAAATTTCATCATCTTTAGTTGGGGGGGTAATAAGGCTATCTCACAGGACGCACAAATTGCCCTCATAAATATTTGTAAAATTCTCTAGATGATGCTTCGACAAAGGCAGTATGTTTTTTGTTGTCGAGTAAGTTGAATAAGCAACAGCGAGGGGAATGTCCTAATTGTCAGGCTGGTTTATTTACTTACCTTGTACCAGAGATTTCTGGCAGCTATGACAAAAGGATGTCTCAGGTAGGGGAAAGGGTGAAGAGATTCTGTGACTACTGCAGTAGGAGCAGCAGCAGGAAAAGGTCAGCTCAAGCCACAAAAACAAGTACGTGACAGATAAATGTTATGTCAAAGGCTAAGTGGCATTTGTGGCATTTGCAGCTCAGATGCACAAGCAGCTTATGTAGATGGTACAGTGATGCAATAGGTATGTCTAATCCTGTTATCAGTGCTCCCCACAGTGCCATGCCATTTCTTCAGAGAACATGCTGAACTCTGGTTTTGGATTCAGAGGCATTTAGATACCTGAAGTTCTGCTTTTGTGCCTTCCTGAAGGTATCATTTTTCATGCCTAATGTGAGGACCTGTGTCTGTCTTCCACCTGAGGCTGCCTGGGAAGCACAGCCTGATTGTGTCAGCACCTCTGATCCCCAGAGGGTCTGGGATGAATCCTCAGGGGCAAGACATGATGACATGATTCATGCAGTCACTCCGTTTGGGTTTGGCTGTGGGATGTTTAGTTGATGCTGCAACCCAAGCCCCAGAGGCTGCATTGCAAACAGGTTCCTGAGGTTCCAAAGTCTATGCTGAAGTAACATAAGATGGTCACTGAGAGACGTAAGGAGAGAGACAAGCTGGAAGCTTTCAAAAGATGAACCCTTGATTTTTGTTGTCTAATCTATCCCAGCTGTGTCCTGCCCACTTACTCCTAACTCCTGTGTTTTTCTTTGATCTGGAAACTGATTCAGAGGATACCTGTGGGCAGCCTGGCAAGTGCAGGTAAATCCCTGGTGGGTGGAGGAGAGCTGCTGAACCAGGCAATTCCTGTGTCTTTAACCAGTGCAAGAACACAGAAAGTGTCTTCTGCCTCATCCACCCACTGGGGAGCCCTTACGCCAGGCCCAGCTGCCCTGCTGTTGTTGAATTGAACCCAGCTGAGCAGCCCTGGCTGCTGTTCCACTTTGGGGCTTCTCTCCTATCACTACCTAAGCCCTTTGGGGCCCTCAGGTGGTGCTTTCCATCACCTAAGCAACACAAGGGGTAGATAAAGGGCTTTCCTCCATGGCTAGTTTTTAACACCAAAAGGAATTTTTATAAAATCTTTGATTGTTAAGATATACTTTGAAGGGACCGTGCTCCCTTTCTTCACAGCCATAATAATTTTACAGCAATGAGAAAGCTCTCCTAGACCTCTGGAAGAAGCTGGCTTCTCCAGCAGAAATAACTCACTCCAGGGTCAGCCCATGGATCAGTGGCAGGAATTCCTGGCTGCCTCTCACAGAACCGTGTCCCTGCAGCACCCCTAGTCCAAAGGGACTATTAAATCTTTCTTGTAGGGAAGCAGAAGGCCTGGAAACTACAAGCACCCTACCACAGAAACACATTAAATGGATCCCACACTTCATCCAACAGAGAACATTAGCACATTTTCATACCCAACTTCTACAAATCCTGCTGAAGGCCTGCAATTAGAGAAAACCCATACAGTTCAGCAAATTATGTTTTCTCAGTGAACTTAATGCAGTTATGACTTCATCATGAGTGACATTTTCATAGATCCCAGAAATTTAAAGACAATAAGAAACTCCCTTTAAGTGAGTAGCTCCAATCACCCTTTGAATAAGCTCACCTAGGTTTAATAGTTCTATAAAATAAATCTAAAACTGCACAAGTCCTGTGCTTTTTCTGTCTTTTCCCTTGGGGTACTGTTCTCTCCAATGGTCAAAACCAGAACAAACTTTTTTTGTGCTAGAATGGTCATCAAAAGCATCTAAAGTTAACATTTTTCAAAACAAGTATGAGAAATCTACCATTCTCAGAAAGACAGTGAAATATCTGATATCTACCAAAGTTAACTGTGGCAAGGGCACTTAAATGGAAGATACTCAGCATGTGCTAAGTTAAAATGTGCCAGCCTGGTGGAGCAAAATGGGTACACACAGACACTGGGCAGCACTGAGGTGCAAAATGAGTACTTGGAACAGAATTAGTTTTAACACAATAATTCACAGGAGCATCCCTCCCTGTTGTGCTCAAAGATCTATGATACACAGAAAATTTCTTTTATTTAAGTAACGTATTAACTATTTTATGGATAGATTTTTTTTTTTTTTTGTTCTGCTCATCCCAAAATCCCAGATACCTTTCTTCTAAAAACAAAGGGGTTGTGTGAAGGGGAGAAGAGCAAGCACTGCAAACCTATGATCCTCCACTAGCAAATTATTTAAATATTCCAGGAAGTGTAAATCACAAAAATGAAGAGCTGTAAAAATCCAGAGCTTTTCCTTTCTTTAGGTGGGGTTGTTTCACCTCAGCATTTTAGCAAAAATCCCTCAAAGTAACAAAACTCTTGCCCAGATGTCTCAGGCTATCACATACTGCCTAGCTGTTAAAATGACATAACTTGTCATTAGCACATCTCACCACCTAGAAGGTGGAGGGGGGAAACATGTAGAATCACCTTTGCACCTTCAATGCAATGGTCTTGCTGGAATATAATATGAGAAATTGCAGCTGCTGTTTATCTCATGCCTCACTATTGGAGAATACAAGGTTGCAATCACAGACTTGTCTCTAACATTCTAAATAGAGGCTTGTAAGAGAAAAGGACAGATGCACAATTAAGAAGCCAAGATGCATAAACAGGTGTTCTTGCTTTGTGCAATTGAGTGATATATTCATGAAACAGAGAATTGGACCCCAGAATGAAAAAGCTTTTAACACTTTGTCCTGGTTTCAGCTGGGATAGAGTTAGTATTTTTCGTAACAGCTGGTTCAGTGCTGTGTTTAGGATTTCATATGAGAATAATGTTGATAACAAATTGGTATTTTAGTTGTTGCTGAGTAGTGCTTACTCTAAACCAAGCACTTTCCAGTTTCCTGTGCTCTGCCAGCACAAAAACCTGGGAGTGAACATGGCCAGGATAGCTGACCTGAGCTAGTTAAAAGGATATTCCATGCCATAGAAAATCATGCTTACCATATGGAGTGGGGGAAGAAGTTCATGAGGGGCTGATTGCTGTTCAAGGACAGGTGGGCATCAGTCAGAAGGCAATGAGCAAGTGTAGTGTGCGGCACTAGTTTCTCTTGAGTTTTATTCCTCTCTTTTTTTTTTTGTTACTTCCTATTTAATTTCAATTATTATTATTACATTTTACTTTATTTCAGTTATTAAAACTGTTCTTATGTCAATCCATTAGTTTTACCTTCTCCCAATTCTCCTCCTTATCCCACTGAGGGGGACTGAGTGAGCAGGTGTGTGGTACTTAGTTGCCTGCTGGCATGAAACCACAGCATTACTCTGAACTTCATCCTCCACCTGCCTGGTCCTCAGAAGACAACTCCAAAATATATTACTGATCAATGTTATTTGGCACAAAAATCCCTGGGCAACCATGAAGCTTCACTCACATCCAACAGGTTTTTCGTTCTGCATTCTCTGTGTCACAGCAGAGAGCTGCCTCATCAGAGAGAGGTGTTTGTTCCACTTGTGTTACAGAGGGGTTGTTTTAATGTTGTTTTCTGTGTCAGCCTTACGTTGGTTCTTCTTGGTTCTTCTTCGTGACACAACCCAGCCAAGTAAAGAACCCACCAGGATCCCCCCTACTGCAGCCACAATGACTGCCCAGTAAGGGACTGAAGATTCTGTTTTCTCCAAGCTGAGATCTGAATTTCCAAATCCACTATTTCTTCTCGTGGAAAGAAAAGGTTTATCCTACAAAAGGAGAGCAAGGGCTTTATTGATCATAGATCACTCAATGGGCAGTATTCCAACAATATGACACTGCCCCTTCTCAGAGAGGAATGGTAGATCTTTAGACAATCAGCTGGTTTTGCCTTCTCTCTATCTTATCCCAAACATTCTCCTGCTCTATTGTCTGAAAATTCTGAGAACACAAAAAAAGAAGCCACCTCAGAATCATGAGTGGTGGCATCACTTCCCAATTTGCTGCAAATAAGCAAATGGAAATACACAGACTCATTAGAACTAGCTTTAATGAAAGGCTTTCCACTGCAGGGAGGATAAAGCTTTTTGTCTTAAATCTTAAGTAGATTTCCCTGTCTGTAACAAAACAGGAATATATTTTAGCTATTTGAAACCTTCACAAAGATACTCTTTTAAAGAGCTCTGCCAGTGTGAAGAAAGGAGATAAAAATAGAGGTAATTAATGGAGAGAGCACCTTGACCTTTACTTACAGGGTTTGGACACCTGAGTTTTGATCTGTCATGGGTAAAGTTGTTGTAAGTCTGCTTTTCACCAACTGGCTCCAGCTGAAGAAGAGAAAAGCAATGTTAAACTTAATGACTCTTTTTCTTCTCAAACTCTCTTGATTCAGACAGTTACAACTTCTTATGCAATCTTTTGCTCCTTGCAGTAACAAAGAATTGTGGTAGAAGGAGCAGAGGAAAGTTTGGAAACATTTTAACACTTGTGAACTGAAGACATTGAGAATCTGATGTACTGGCTGCAGAATAACTCCCTTGGAAGCAAGGAATAGGATGAGTGTTTCTTCCTTTTGCATTGCTCCGAATACAATGCATTTAAAATGTTCAGCTAAAGCAAAGTGGTTCACTATTACACCCAGTTCTGCCATGTACTTGTCTCAAATGGCAGTATAATCCACAGGAAAAAACCCACATGACAGATGTTAGACATATTACTTAGCACATTACTTAAAGAAAGATGCCTAAGGTGTCATGGTGATGGGAGTTACTTCAAAAATGACAGAGTTACAGAGAGAGGATGGGACAATGCCAACCTTTGCAGTCCTCACTCAGGCAAGAAATTCCCTGGGAATTTTAGCTGAGGCTGGGTTCACAATCTTGCAAGAAGCAAGTTAAACAGAGCCTTTTATATTATCAGTTGGCAGCTAAATTGCAATAGCTGACCATAGGCTCACCCTGAGCCCATTTCCAGCTCAACATGAGATATGCCTGGGCTAATAGCAGGCAGCTGTGCTTGGCTAGGAGTGCACATACCACTGGTTGCCATAGTTAAGCTAACGAGTAGAGGCTTGCTCAGTCATGTTAACTAAGTGTTTACAATTGTTGTATGGACATGCCTGAAGTAACGACTACAAGATTGGTCCATAGAGAACTGCAAAGCTGTCATCCAGCACTTCTGGGAATCCAGCACAGAGGATGGCTGTTGCTTCTGCTATTGTCCATGCAGGCATTTACTGTCCTCAAGGGATTAAAGTGTCAGCTGCATGCTGAAGAGAAACAATAGAGCAACGAGACCAACATGGAAAAAACAAATTTTATCCATAAGATTCTCATATGGAAACACTGAGAATACTTTCTCTCTCTTGTTCATTTTTAATAAAAAATTTAAAAACCAGAAAGAAGCTAGCACAGACTGAAAAATAAAAAGATATGAACCACAGAAAATATAACGAGGGAAGAGAAGAAAGTTAAAAATTGAAGAGAAGATTAGAAGCAAAAAACCAGGATGCCAAGTTTTGCTGATTGTTGTAGGGTCCTGATGGACTCTTTTATGACTCCTAGTCACTTGGCCCACCCACCAGCTAATGCAGTGAAGACTGAATTTGATATTTTTTCTGTACATTAAAGGGAACAGCTCTGTTATTTGTATGATGTGTGGCTCATATCTTGCAGCATTCTGCCTGAGGTGCAACTGGTTATTTGTAGATAATTGTAATTCTTCCCATGCCAGGGCACTTGGTAAGGATTCTGGCACAGAGCCCAGACAAAAGATAATAAAATGCAGAATTTTATAACCACCCATGCTTACTTCATGTTTTATGCAATCTGTTCTTCAGGACCATTAGCTTCTGGGCTTTGAAGATGACAGTATCCTCAAGTCCATGAGCATACAGGACAAGTTCTGGAAGAAACTTGTTGCTCCTCTAGAGCATGTGGCAAGCATGGAGGCAGAACACAAACCAAACACTCTGTCTACGTGTCTCTTCACCTTGGCCAAACACCTGACAAAGTGGGTTTGGGACCAGTAAAAACCCCCTTAAGACTGCAGAGTCCTCTGACCTCAGAGAGCAGGAGCACACTTTGTTTTGCAGGAAGCCAAAAAGGCAAAGAACTCCGTGAGCCATCCCAATCCCTGCACACCCACACAGTGGCCAGGCACAGTCTGGCCCTTTTTGTGCACTGACAAGAATCCGTGTCATTTGGCCATAAGCCTGCCCAGCTTTTCAGGGAACAGGGAAACAATGCAGCCTTACAGTAAACTTGCACAGCCTAGCCATACAAGGACTGCCAGGGAAAAGCAGGGATGTGTTACAAGAACTAGATTTAAATAGTAAACAGTAAGATCTGCAGTTGGCATAGACCGACAGATCTCTCTGGGAGGGAATAGTTGTGCTTTGCAGCAGTGAGAACCTGATCCCTGCCACCCCAGTAGAAAGCTTTGTGGCAATATCCTTCTATGCGTAGGAAATGAATGACAGCCGGGACAGGAAAAAAGCTCTGGTGGCATAGGAAAAAAGACTGATGGTGATTCAGGAATGAGTAATGGCCAATAGGAATACCACATGGCAACAGAAACCCAATTTAAGACCGCCATATGCTCAGGTACTGTCCCTTTATGTTTTCTTGAAACCCTCAGCCATGCTCAATTTGAATTTTTCTACATTTGCCTGGGGTTTCTGGCCCACCATTAGCCCTGTTTAAGTTACGAAGCTGAGTGAAGCCTACCAGCCTGCTGTCATCTGGAGTCCCAGACAGGGAAACCTGATGGAAAACAGGCAGATTTGCTGTGCATGCACAAATCAATTACTCCGAGCATGTGCTTGTATTGTACATTTTATAATCCTGGACCTACAGCTCATATGCTATGCTGGGCAGCTGCAAAGATTCCTGCCCTGCATTTTCCAGTCCTTATTTTCAAGCTCATTCTGGGGTATCCTCTAAGTTTCTTATCTTGCTTAAACTTTTACTTGGATGGAAAAGAAATTCCCCTCCATTTATGTTTGCTTCTTGTGCAAACCAGGATGCAGGATTTCTGCTAGCACGATGTATTTCACTACTGGTGTTTACAAGACAAGGGGAGGAAATGTTGCTGTGGCATAAAAATGCTATAGTCTTCCTTCCAATGTGGGGAAACGTTTCTAAAAGCAACTGTGACCTTGGAGTTATCAAGTCTGGCATGCACCTCTGACACCTTCTTCCAACACTATTCATTTCCCCCAAAATGACAGATGGAATGTGATTACAAGCACTGTAAGTTTGATTTCAGCCCCCCATTAGTTTCAGTGACTCTACTAAAACTGCCTCAGATACAAGAGTGGGTGGTACAACATGTCCACACTATTAATGGCAGCAAAAATTCAGTCACATATATGTTTTCCTAATAAATATAACAGAATTCACTGAAGAAGGGCAAGATCATTGAGCAGACACTTTCAGCAAACTACAGAACTGAATATTTAACTAGGCTGACATTTTGTTTTAGTGCAAGTTATTTACCAAATCAGAAAGGAATTTTTTGTTTTCTCAAGCCTCTTTAGACTTCCCAATTTGAATGAGCAAAGACTTGCACTGTTTCATGCAATATGATCAGTTTGGGTTACATTCCTAAGAAATGCAGAGTGAGAAGAACCTCAGAGTTGAGCAAGCCCCTCTTGTTAGGATATCAATTTTATGTCTTGCTTACTCTTTTGTTTCAGACACTTTTCTCATGATCTTTTGTAGATGCTGCTACCACAAACACATAGGGATCTAAGTTGTAATTTCTTACCATATTGTTCCAGAGAGCCATGGCCATCTCAGCATAGCCTCTTACACTGAAATGAAAGCAGTCTGCAGCAAAGAAACTCATATCTGGCTTGCTAGTCTGCAATAAAAGCAAAAATTTATTTCTCAGCAATTTCAATCTTTGAGATCTGACATATTAGATCTAATAGTGTACTGTACTTGATATACCCACCCATTTCACAATTTTGGTATCTTCCTAAAGGTAATATGCCCATGTTTTCACACTGGAAATAAACTTGGGTGCTCCAAACAATGGGCTGATTACTGCACCTTGAGACCTGTGTAATGCAGCCTGCTCAACTTCACACAAAAATTTTCATAACAAAACTGAACTTAGCATCAAGCCAACAGCCACAGCTGTTGCACGGACCCTGCCATTGACCCACATTCCATTGTGTACAGAACTGATAGAAAAGTGCTTATTATTACTTTTTAACCTTCTGTGACTCAGACTTACAACATTTCAAGTGTTGAAATATCTGCTGAATTTCAGATAACAATAAGAATGGTGGGCTTATCCAACAGTGGCAAATGTCTCTCTTAGGGGGAATTTGCTTCATCACTACCTGTATGGTGACCATTGGTCAACCTTGTAGGCCGACAGAAAAAAAAATTTGGGATGCTATGAAAAAAAGTATCAGTATTATGCAAAACTGGGTTGTTTTGATGAGGAGTCATGCTGGATATTTGTATCCTTAACTACACAGCATACATAATGCTAAGGCTGGAGAAAAGGAGGAGAATCAGTGTTTGGTTTCAAAGGCTGCTTCCTGTTTCTGTGCTTGGATGAGTCAGAGATTCAAGTGCCGGTCTCCATTTGAAGAAAACCTGAACACATTCCATAACCTAAATCGGGAAACTGTGGTGAATGCTAACCAACCTCCTCAACAAGGGAAGCCACACACAGTTGAGAGGAAGTCAGAGGGGTGCCTAGTTTATGGGGGCAGGCTATGAATGTTTCCTAAAGCCATTTTGAGTCACAGGCAGCACTGCCAATCTTCTTGCCTTACTGTGAGACGTCTTGTCTTCTCCTCTCTCACTCTTACCGCAGATTCCACATTGAAAATACAGTCCTTGTGGCATGGATCTTACTGGTTTAAGAGAAATCCACACACTGGCCCTTGCACGATGGGAAAGCAAAGCAGGACTCACGCTATCCAGGGGCAGCAAGGTGTTCCGGAGGAATGGCTGGATGACAACGGCGAAGTCCTCCCGCTGTTCGTACCGACCGCCGCTGAGCAGCCGCAGGGCTTCAGCCTGAGCGCCGTGCGACCGGCCAAAACAGAGCAGTTACTTGCAAGGCTCACCTAACATTTGTCAGCTAGCAGAAACATGCAGGTGAAGCATCTTTCAGCGTAGGAAGCCATGAATCGTTTGTGTAAATCCAGCTAAACGTTATAAAGCGGTCAAGCAAATGGTTCAGAAAATGATTTGGTTCATGAGGAGGTTTTCATGAGGAAAACGCACAGAAGATGGATTATTTCAAACAAAAAAAAAAGTAAAAATTATAAAGTTACTTTACTTAAAAAAAAAACATTAAAAAAATAGTTCAAACCTTACTTATAGAAACCAAAACTGCACAATTGCAATTAGATTAAAATTTGCAGAAAAATATATTAAAAAAAAGGATCAAGGTCAGCATGTTTAGAAGTGACAAATGAGTCCAGAATGCCAACTTGAAGCTGAAGTATGCTTGATTTTTCAGAAAGGTGTGCTTGAATTAAAATAATACTTTGAATACATTGAAAAATTACCTGCCACTTTCAAAAGTTATGGTACCAGACCTTCATACACATAAAAAACCCCATCTCATTGTAACTTGCCATCTTAGGGGTATAAATGCTAATGATCCTGGTCATATCTCAAAATATTTCTAATCCCTTTAGTTAAAGAAAATGTAGTAGGCTTGTAGGCTTATAGAAGCATTACCCAGGGTAAATTTCTTGAGCTTTGTCAGATTCATTGGACAACACCACTGCCAGAGCCAGAATGGAGAACATTATGTGATCTGATACAGTGATTCCTGTATTCATAAGAACATCGATGGAAAAAGCTTCTGCTCCAATAGCTATTTATAGCCTCTGTTAATTTTGAGTGAATCTTACGCCTGAGGCTATGAAAAGTTACTCTCATATAGCAAGCTGGCCCACGGTTGGTTTAGTTAATTTCTTCTGCTAAGAGTAACCACAAAACAGCTGATGCAAGGTCATTTGTCACTCTTGCAGTGACACGTTAATTCATGTGAGCTACGTATTGGACTCATAACAGACAAACGCATATCAACAAAGCAGCCATCATTACTAAATCCTTTTTGGCTGTTGAAACAGCAGCTGGAAACAGAGCTGGTCTCCATCTGCATCCAGCTCAGAACTTAGAAAGAAGAAGGCAATGTGAAAAGTCCTCCACTGCTACTAACTGGTTAGCTGGGAAGGGTTTTGGTTAGGCTGTAGCCAAGTTGTTTTCCAGTTATCCCTCCCTGTACTGCTGAGGATATGCATGACAGGAAGGGCAGTGAGGGAAGCAATATAAAAAGACACAAGTGAAGATGACCAGTTAGAAAATCAATACATTACCTGAAAATCTCTGTTAACTCTCTTAATTTCTTGTAATTCAGAAGAATTTTCCTCTGGGTTTAAGAAACATGGGCAAACTTTCCTTCGATGAAAGAAATACTAGAATTAAAAGCCAGTCTAGAATAGTTTATTCACTTCAGCACTGCGTGTCTGCTTCAAGAAGCTCAGGATAGGTGTTCAAATTTCACGTGCAGAAGGGAGAGCCACGTTGGTGACTTAGGAATGGACAGATATTTCACAAAAGAAAAATCTCTACTGACTTACTTTTCAAAATGAGCACTTACCACAGGCAGAAAGAGCTGCACGATCTGCAAGTCGAGTCAAATGTGAAAAAAGTGTTTAGTATGCCACACATCAGCAGGAAATCATATGTGTTAGAATAACAAGAAAACCCACCCTATGAATGGGCTTACAGCAGAATTTCAGACATCTGGGATTTTAAAGTAAGAAAATACAATTTTTTCATGCAGTCTGAGTCCTTGCACCACTCTGTTTTATTATGTTACCTTCATAACAAGAGGTAATAACTTGTGCTTCACTGAAATTCATCTTCTAAGAATGTGCTCGGAATGAATAGGAAGGCATTGAGCAAAACCATCAATTCATTATTTTTCCTTCCAGTGTGTTCCTGTAGTTAATCACTTGTATTTCTAAAAATCTGTGCCTAACTTAATTGGAATTCATTCGGCATCACCTTGCAACTACTGGTCTTTGTTATACCTTTCTCTGCAAGACTGAAGAGCCTTTTCACATCCATTCTGATGCCTTTAGAGACACTGCTGCTTTCTAAAGTGAGTCTCTCAACCTTTTTTGAGTTAAGATTTTGGTCTCTTTTTTTAGGTGCGAGGAGCAGTTCCTGGTTGTGCTCTGCTGCATGCAGTCCAGCCTGCACCAGAGGTAATGCAACACTGGATAACAAAGAGAGGAATCAGGGATGTCAGCCTGTGCTGCTGACCAGCAGATGGCTGGGCAAAAAAAGCCTTTGAAGTTCAGCAATCATATACTGTCTGGTGCTGTGTCATGATGCCTTATAGCTGAGAAGGGAGAACTCTGCTATCTACAGGTGCAGGCTTTTCAGCTGAAGTATTGCAAGAAATAATAGAAAGTTGATGGGTGCATCAGGTAAAGGAAGCAATGCAAGTAGCTTGGAAAGCTCAGTGTGGATGTGCTCTTGTAGAAATTGAGACTGAGCCAAAAAACCATCACTTTATAGGCAAAGAGCTGTTTTGCTCACTTACTTTGCTGTCAGAGCACACTCTGAAGAGCTTGCTGTGATTTGACGCAGTCCAGAGAGCTCTAGGACCTCCACCATGTTGATAAAGACTCTTGGGAGCTGGGAGGATTATAATCACCAGACATACAGACATGTTACAAATAACAGAACATGATACCACTACAAAGAGCAAGAAGTGGCATCTGTAGGTCAGGGAGTCAGTGCAAACTGCACTGGCTGCAGCCAATGGCATGTGCAAGGATGATGTATAAAAGGAGGGGGAGGGAGACATACAGTGGATGTCAGCCAAAAAAATTCCAGCAGCTAGTACAAACTAGCTGAAATGCTGCTTCACTCCCTGGGACATTTTTATTTGCTCTAGGGTAAATGAAACTGTTCATGGTTGGTTTAGCCACGAAAACTGGCTGTAGGGTCATGGTATGTTTGGTCCACAGCATAAATATTGTCAAACACACAGCTTTTCTGAAACTGCAGCTCTCTTTCTCAGGGCATTAGCTAGTATAGTCATTGAAATACAGCACTGAGGAACAGTCTGACTCCAGCTATTTGAAAGATGACCTTGTATGAAACATAATCACTGACAGTCTATCAGAGGTGAGAAAAACATCAGTGTACTTGCCAGGAACATAGCTTGCTAGGGTATCTTAAAAGCTTACCTCCTCATAGAAAATATCCAGAGTGTCCTGCAGGTGCTTTACATACTTTTGCACTGAATAGGTTTCCTATTAAAAATAAAAATTAAAAAAAAAAAAAAATCGAGTCAGTCTTTTTCAGGAACCAACAAGGCGATCTATGAGAAGCCATACCAACTAGATGCTCCTTTTTGATTTTGTTGGCAGATACATTTCCAGATCAAGAAGTTTACTGGCACATATACAGAGGTTATATAGCACTTACATTTTTATGCCATTAATATATTCCTCTGATTTCTGTAGAAAATCCTGAGGTGTCTTGGCAGAGCCTTTCCCTGATAATGACTATATCAATCACATTTTTGGATTTTGGGTTGTCTTTTATGGGACCCAGAGCAGACTGATTTGCCTTATGTACAGAACAATATCTTTATTTCAAAGTGCCCATCTGGACAAACTGATCTGAAAGCAGTTAGATCCCACAAAGCCTGTAAGCAAAACAACTTTGTGCTGTACAGAGGTGTAGTTTTGGGGACAAAGGCTCCAGGCAGCTGCCTGTCAAGGAAGAGCAAAACAGAGAACATGACTGGTCATTTCAACAAGCTGGGGTACAGACCCCCAGTCTGTGCCACATAAAGAGTTTTAGAGGGGATGGCCACTGACAGCTAAAGAAAATACATGTTTTTCACTATAAACTGATATTATTTTGGGTGTCATTCTGAAGCAATAATTATTGTGTGGAGATTTCACTTGTGTCCCTAACATGCCTGAGACACCACACTGATTACTTTGTCCAGTTAAGCAGGGAGAGCTCTTCAGCCTAATCTTTGTGTTTTGTTCAATATGAGCAGGTTCCTAGTACTCAAATAATGCATTTTTCCAGAGCTGCAGTGCCCCTGTATAAAAACTTGTGCATTTGTTTCTGATATAATACAGATGAAAGGGGCAGGATTTCTAAGTGCTTTTTAAACAAAGTGGAACTTTGGCTCCCTGAGAGAGACAAAAGCTCTGTTTCCAGGGCTGGTCACCTGCCAAATGCTGGGTGAGCATGCCTAATTCAGATATACAAACCTTGTCCAAGCAGTACTGGCACAGGTCACTGCCTCCAACAAGGATGGTAATCAGCTTCCAGTCTTCCTTGAAGTTAATTTTCTAGTGGCACATAAAATAAACAGATTGCAGCATCCATTGCTTAGGCATGCAGAGGTAACATTCACAAATGGGGCTAAATGGGCACAGACAGTAGGGCAGAACAAAGGAGGTATGCTGAGTTAAACTGGCAAAAGAAAAGCATCTCTCCAGGGGGAAAATCTGAGCTGTTTGCTAGTCTACTGCAATTCACCTTGGCTTCTGTAAGGAAATTCCCTTCAGCAGACAAGCTCTGCCAGGGTAACCAAGCACGGGAATGTGTCTGTGGCAGCAAGCATCCCTAAAAGAATGGCAGCTTCAGCACAGAGGTGGACAGGAGAGATCTGCCAGCCGTGGCTGCACGCTGCAGGCAGTGTGGGGATGAAGAGTGGGAGAGGAGGCTGGAGTCACTGATGTGGCTGTGGAACCGGAGCTGCTGGGGATCCCTGCCAGCTGGGCAACAATTACCCCGTGGCCAGGAGGGGCAAGGGCTGCCCCAGGGAACAGACAGCTGGATTAAAATAGAAGAGTCCGGGAGGCTGGTGACTTCACTGAGCTCATATAAGGGCAGCTGCAGCATCCACGTCACCACAAGCTAACAATAGGCGCTGCTGAGAGCTGGATCTCATCAAAACACTTTGTAACATTCGGTACAAAGAAAGGAATCAAAGGCAACTATTTTTAGCGTAGTGCATTTACATAATAAACATCTGCAAAAGGACCCCACAAATAGAGGGAGGGCCTGGGAATCACCCAGGTCTGAATTCTCTTCTTTAACCAGCAATTTGCTCAGAAAGACTTTCATGAAGAGGCAGTGTTATGGCAGGGACAGACCCCTTTCCCTTTTTAAAAAAAAAAGAATGCATAAAAAGCTGTGAATAAAACAAAGCACGACAGCCTCTCCTCTTCTATTCTATTGAAAAGCCATGCCAGCTCTCTTCACTCTGCCAAACAATTGGCAATGCAGAGTAACTGACAGTGGGGTGAGCATGCAGCATCCATCAAGAGTTCTGGCATGGGGAGCCACATGCTTCGACAAATCCTGCTTATTCAGTGCCTTCCTTTCCCATTCAGTCTGAGCCAAGGAGCACCAGGCACTCCTTTTTCCTTGGAGGGAATGCTCTCCCTGAACCAACAGTTCACACCCAGACAGTCATCCACTCAAATGCAGCCAACACTCAGAGCAGAGCAGCCTTGTGTTTCTCAGATTTATTTCCCTCCCTGCTTCTGATGCCCTTTGTTGCCCTCAGCGGAGCTGGAACATCAGACTGGTCCACAATGCCAGATCCCCTTCTAATTCTCTAAAAGATTATGGTGTGACAGAGATTCATCCATTCCTGAGCTTTCTGGTCACTGATTAATTATTTGCCTGCTCAAAACCAGACTTTGAGTGGGCTTTTTCTCCAGCAAAGACTTCATAGCCCCTCTTCCCAGTATTGTGGATATTGTGACGGATATTGTGACTCATGTTGGTCTGCAGACCTACCTGCTTCAGCAATTTAACACTCAGCCTTTATCACCCTCACTTTGAAGGCTGCTGCTCAACAAAGCAATCCTGTGATCTCACCAGAGCCTTCAGATTTCTCCTCTTCCTCTCTACCATCCTTACATGTCCTGGCTGCACTGCAGCCTATATTAGGGCTAATTCATCTGGCACATTCATCTGGGAAAGCACAGCAGAGACAAGGACTTTTCTTCCATCAGTAAAGCACTCTTCATGACTCAAGCATCCCATTAATTACAGTCATCCCCCAGGGACCCTGGCAGCACCGAGGTGTGGCCCAAATCCCACTTACCGAGCTGCTTCTCATCAGCTCCACCAATGCACGTGCTTGGGCTGGCATATCACTAGGAGAGAGAACAGAAGATGTGTGCTCCAAAAGCACATCACTTTCTGCACCCCACTCCTCGTTGCAGGGGATCAGCAGAAATCAGAATAAGGAAAGTGATGCCTCAAAAGGCTGAGGAAACACTGAAGGACCAAGTTGCACAAGTGAATAATCTGATCTGAAAAGGCTTCAGCTGGGATGGCTGCCAAGTGGCAGGCAACTGGTAAGAGTCCTTCCTATCTCAGACTTGGCCTTGGTGCATTTTGTTTGGGAAAAAACACTAATACCCAGGTGCACAGAGGCATTGAGTTGCATAACTCGCTTCAGAAATCTAGTGGGGGAGTTTGGTGCTGACACAGAGGCTGGGCACCTAACCAGCCTTCCTGATCTGGCCTTAAATTCCTATGGCTTGTCTTATGGCTGGAAGAGAGTGCTTACATTGTGGGACTGCCAGGCTTGAGTCCCAGTCCAGTTCTGGACAGGATGCAACATCCATGGGCCAAAGCACAAACCTTGCTGAGACACCAGCTGGAAATGAGCTCCTCATACACTAGAAAAAGACTGTGCTTGAGCTAATAAGCCCTGCCTCCTTCCAGCAGCTACACAAATGCAGTTACATTATTTGGATTCCTAGAACCATACTGATCATGCTGAGTCAGCTTTGCTCAGGGAACCTATGAAATATTTAGTAGCTATACAGGCTTTGATAGTTATCCTAAATATCTCTTGCAGCAGATTTAATGGTTGTTAAAGGTGTCACAAAAAGCTTTGGAAACAAATTTTGTGAGTGTTCATGGAGCAGGAACAGTGTAAGCCATACAAATTCTTACATGTTTTGGTTGTTAACAGACTAGCAGGTTTTTTTTTTTTTGGGTGGAGAAAGGAGTTATTTCCCAGCTGCTTTTTTATTTCCCCCTTTGCACTGCAAACAGGGATAATTTTTAATGCCATTAGGGTAGAAGTGAGCTTCTATTTGTTAGTATCAGGTACATTCTTTAGAAATCAAGGAATAAAATAGATGCTAATGAATTTATTCCTCATTACAGATATTGCCTGACAGTGAATTAGAGACCTGTACACTGAAGATTGGGCAGGAAAAGGTACTGGTTGTATTAGAAGCATAACTAAGGCATTGGCTCAAAAAGTATGGGCAGAAATCAAATAAAGAAAGGAAGCATGTGTTCTAATTTAGAAAAAGATAACAAATAAATTCCCCAAATTCCAAATTGAGTTAAAAAACCAAAACCCACAATTAAAACCATCAGATCACATAAACATGCTGAAAGCCAGCAGACCACCAGCATTACCTCAGCCCTGACATCCATCACAAAGGTAACCTGCCAGTCCATCACTTCTCACTCCTTTGCCTCTCTCCTTTGGGATCGTCCTTACCGTGCTGTGGCATTTCTCTCTGCAACGTTGAATCCAGCCGTTTCCTTAGAAGTGCCAGTGGAGAAGCCAAAGAGGTTCGGATTGAATTTTTTCAAGATGTCTTAAAAAGAAAAAAGCACAGTGTTTAACCATTCACAGCCAGCAGCGCTGCCTCCCTGCAGACACAGGAGCCAATTGAGTGGTGAGAATACAGACTTGTGTTTTCCCCTCATTCACCGTGCTCTACAGCAGCTAGAGACACTCCTGCTTTGAAGACTCTAGTTGCTGTCCAAATTTCATCACTGCAATTATTTCTCTCCATGGGCTTGAGGAACCAGGGCTTGGTGGCCCAGGAGATTCATAGATGGATCTCAGGCAAATCAATCTTGCATTTGTCAGAGCATTCGTGGTTACTTCCCTTCATGTACCAGAAGCAGGTGCCCTGACTATGCCCTCTACCTCTCCCTCCTCCACCTAGACAAGAATACTTGTGGCAGAGAAGTGAATTTTTTTCATTTTTCTAGATTTCACTGAAACTTTCCGTGGGGAAGCATGACACCTGAAAACTGTTGTTACTGTGCCCGCAGTACTGCTGTCTGAAATCTCTTTATAGAATCTCATTTATAATGCACAAATGAACTGCACTTTCTATTTTTCTTCCAACACAGTGATATGCCTGGTACAAGGCAAAGAACATCAGTTTTTTTTACTAACAATGTCAAGTATTGTCAAACTGCTCCACAGCATGGATCACATACAAATAGAGCAGGCATTGTAAACCAAGTGCCTTCCAATATATTGTCACATTGACCACTTAGTGGTTTCTGTGGCAGGCCCAATTACACAGAACACTAGGGCAAAAATTTATAGTACTTTTAGATTTTTTTTCCCCACTGCTATGTAGCAACTTGAAATCATCTGGAAGAATCATAGTTTTGTCAACAATCCTGGCTAGATGGACTGGTAATTGTTTCATAATTCTTCATTTGTCCACAGATATTACAGTCAGTCACTGGAAAGCATAAAACAAAATAAGGAACAGGTCTGCTATGAACTTCTGTCGCCTTCAGCACATTTACTCCTAATTCTTTTGGCCAAAAGGATGATACAGCCAGCTGCAGGTCCTGTGACGTGGAGGGGCTGAATCAACTTTACAGCTAATCAGGTCAGTCTGGATCTCAGCTCTCACTCATATGAACTGCTTATACCCACAACAGATGGACATCCCCACTGTTTTCAAGGAATGACCATTTCCAGAGGTTTCCTAGCATGCACTTAAACCACTGTCAGTGTAATACCCAACTTTTGCTTTTCTAGGATACTCACTGGGTAAAGTAGCCTGGATCTCCAGAGTGTCATCACCCCCAATACTAGAAAGGGAAAGAACAAAATCACCCAGTAGGGTTAATCCTGCAGCCATCTGTCTTCTTGTCACCACATGTTGTTGTAGCTGCCCAAGAAGGAAAAAACAACCTCCTCCCCCCCTCCCCCAATATTTGCTTCCAACAGGACTAAGGAGATAAACCACAGGAATTCAGGGAAAGTAGTGAAGGGATAACTCACATTAAATAAAGCAAGGTAGCACTAGGATAGAAGCTGTGCCTTCAGGCTGGGAGCAGACCATATTGAGAGAACTGATTTTTCATGTGGACATGCTGGGATACCTATCACAGAAAGGCATATTTCCTCACCAAAGCTGCTCCATGTTGCCTTGCTGAAACTACATTTGCATGCAGTTAAGCATAGGAGAGACTGCATCAAATATTCATTAACTACCTATTTGCAATGCTGCAATGCCAATTACATAGAGCCTCTGCCTTGCCATTCAAAATTTGTCTGTGTGCAGAGCCAAGACACTCTTAGAGCAGTTGTGGCAGCCCCTCCTGGAAGTATCCATGCTGCAGACACATGCAAAGGGATGCAGAAAGAGCAAGGAGGATGATGTACACATGCACACACTTATCAGCTACATGTCTGCCCATAGGGAGCAGGCAGCTTCCTTGCACTCTAGCATGGATATTGAGCTCCACTCCCTCTGACCTGCATTGTTTGCCCACTTTGCAATAGCAAAGGTGTTTGGAACATCTTCACTGAGCAGTGCTTTCTCCATGTTCATGCCAATCCACACTCACTCAGACCTTCCAGCATTACATACTGCAGTAGATAATCACAGCAACATTTTGAATAAGCTCCAGAGAGACTAGCAAAAGGCTAAAAGGTACTCTGATACAGGACCACGCTTGTAGCAATCAGGTTGTGTTAACACACACACACTCCAAAAAAAAAAAAAAGCAAGAAAAAGCCCACAAAAACAAACACTACCCGTCCACCCCAACCCCCCACAGGAATCACTCCTTTTCTCTTCCAGCCCTGACTACTCCAACCCTTAACAAGCAATACTTGCTGTCAGCATCCTTCCCCCAGAATTTACATATAAAGACATAAATACACAACCAGGTGACCCACAGTTTTAACTGTGTGGACAAAACCAGATTTTAAAAAAAGGAGCATTTTCACTCACCTCCAGGAAAGTCCCTTCCAGTCTGTTTGTAGGTCTGGTACTTTGGCTCCTACTGCAGTCTGGAAAAGATGGAAATAACAACTGATAAAATATGAAAAGATAAAAAGTCCTATGAATTTAGGTAAGAGAGACATCATGTTTTGAAGGTGCTGAAACATTCTTTTAACATTACTCCAGCCAAGCTTTTGCAACATCCCAGCTTTAGCATAAGTGGTCTGTGTCCTTATTCACCATCACACATTGGCTTGTGGGCAGCCCTGCATCTCCCATACTCCAAATTTCCATGCTTTTCCTCATACACAAAAAGAACTCATCTAGATAGCAGACCATGGAGCATCAGAGGAGATGCAGCCCAGCCAGAGGACATCAGATTGTAAGGTCAAGGACGTGAGACTTTAAAGCTGCTACTCATACTGTTTTAGCAACCCAGTGGGACCCAGATTAACACCAACTGCTTTGTATTTTTTGGATTTTTTTCCTGATGGAAAATGCTTCATCCTGGCATTTCCTGAGGAAGGATGATTTTGAGAGACTTAATAATCCAGAAAAAAAGCCCCAAACACTGATGAAAAATCTCCATCCAGTTTTAGATGTACATAAATCAGAGAAGCTGTTTTTTAATCTGCCAAAAAACCAAATCTTTGGTGTACAATCCATTTTTCCTCTCCTAGATCCAGTCTGCTACTTATCACACAGACTTGATGAGGTGTGGACAGGATTTTTTTTGCCAGTATAGATAAGCATGTTGGTGTGTCTATGCTTTCAGTGTGCATTGGTGCTAGAGAAGTCAGACAGATGAATTCTAACCAGTGACATGACTAAATTGCTCAATGTTTCATTAATCTCCAACTGTATCTAGATTGAGACAGCCTTTTTTCCTGCACTGTGAATTTTCATATCCTTCAAAATTAAATAAATGCAGAAAGCCATCAGAACAAAGACCTCTGTGCTGAATTTGAGTATCTCACAGGATGGGGACAGGGCTCTAGCAAGGTCAGCACCCTGACTCACATTTAGGGCAGCAAACATGAGAAGGGGTTCTTCTGCAGCTTTACAGTTTTGTAGTGGTCTCACCTACTTTTTATTCTTCAAAAATCCATGGCACAAATTCAGCCATGAATACTGACTGCATTCAGGGATCTTGTGAGGAGTACCAGGAGGACAATCCATGCCAATTTTGGCACTTTGCCTTTGCTGCTGTAGTCCCCTTGTGCCAAGGATGGCTGCCCTGTACAAAGTGCACGTGGCTGCTGTGGAGGTGTGAGTATGTGCACACACATGGGAAATACTCTGCCACTTTTTTTCCCCCCCCCCCCCCCCAAATAAATAATTTAATAAAACCCCCAAGCACACCTTGCTGTGGCAACTGGTAGGAACTTCATGAATAATGGCATTATGAAAACCTGCCTTGCTCAGCTCTTGAGACAGAGACCTCAAGCATCATAATCTGGCCCTATGCCTAGGGTTGAGATATTTTATATATCAAAAGAACTAATATTTTTAAAATAAGATATATATGCTAGTGCACATACCTAGCACTTGATGTGGGAGAGGAAATAAAGCAATTAATTTTAAGAGTCATGGCAATGGATAGGAGGGAGACTTGTAGGGCTTTACTGATTTCTTCTAAAAAAAGCTCAAAGCTAAAAAAAGCTCTGCAACAGGGGACAAGCCAGGATTACATCAGGTCAAGCAAAATCAGGTTCAGAGCTAATGAGAAGGTGCATGATGCATAATGAAGACATGCACACCTGACTGTAAGATAAGACTGATCATTTAAGGGCTTCATACCCTTCAAGTCCCTCTGAACTCAACAGGAACAGAAGCTGCTGGAATGAGCACTGGCTTAGTTCAGGAGTTAAAATTCATGGAAACTGTTGACGCAAATGTTTGCTTTCATCCCATGCCAGAACAATTCTGCAGGGCTGTGTAATTCTAGAACTTTTTTCTCAGAAAACTTCAGTGCAGATCTGCAGTTTTCCCTGCTATTCTTCCCTGCAGCCCTTTTGGGTTTATTTTTTTGTTTTATACCTCCATTTCTTAGTACTTGAAATACTTGAAAATCAGAGCTGTAACTGGAAGATATCTAACCCAGGAAGCAGATCTGAAAGCAGAACTCTGAAATACAGAAGGATCAGAATTATCTCAAGTGGGAAGCACTTCATTTCATAGTCAATTATTTCCATGAGAGTTTTCAACAAATGTCTTTTTGCATCAAAAATATCAACTGCTTTCACTTCTTTTTTTTTTTATGTCAAAAGAGACTATTCCTGTAAGACAGACACATCCATTTTCAAAAACACTTGGATAAACTGTATGCAACAGAGAATGGGATCCCATTTCTGTCCCAGCCTGAACTATTCATTACTTGATTACACAATTGCCAGTGTCACTCATATCCCTTCGGGCTATTTCTTTGCAAAGGGAACCAGGTAGATGAGTTTTGCTTTGCCAAGCCAAAGCAATTTGCCTTCTGATGATGCCTGACGTGACAACATCTGGGTAGAAATCAACAACTGCTCTTCTCACTCTAAATGTGGGAATCCAGCAGTACTCACAGTCAGGGAATCTCCAAGTGCTCCTATGACTTTGATGTCAGCAGGCCGTAGCTCATGGACTAAAAAGCAGTAGGAGAATAAAAGCAGGATTACAGACAACTGACAAAATACTGTTTAATAGAATACAAGTCTTAGGTTCCAATCTGATGGCATTTCTGCAGACTTTTTAGGTAGGAAAAGCTTCAGGTTCTGTGTGTCACCTAGGCAAAATGTTTAATTTCTTGCCTTTACTTGCAACAGTGCATTACACTGACGTGGAAAGAAATGGAACTCAAAACAGTTTAGGTAAAAAATGAAAACAGACTAGATATGTTTACAGATACATACAGTCAATCTCTCTTAAATTACCTATACATCTGGGTCTTAGATCAATATTTCCTATTAAAAATCCCCTTGTAAAATCTTCAAACTGTACCCAGCATTTGCACTGCTTCTCAGAGCACATTCCAGCTTGCTAAGTCACTAACCCTCCTGGGCAGTTTTAGTCAGCCACGTTGTTGTATGATGAATGAGGTACAGGACACATGCATACAATAAAAGTGATCACATTTATCCACAGAGATGACCTGCTGTCATGCAGAACTCATTGTGAATGGCAAGACACACTTCTTCCCTTTGTTGCTAAATATATCAACTTTTATTGTTTACTTTCCATCTAGGATGTGCAATTTCAATATCTTATTTCTTTTAGAAACAAAAGATGAAATTTTTTCCTGTGTATGATTTTAGGTTGGGAATTCTTTCTCACCTGATGTTGGGACAGGACTAGATGGAGTATGACCAGGACAGGACAGTTCACTGCCCCAATTCTGAAATGAGAAGTTACAAAATTGTTTCATCTTGTAGCTAAAAGATAATGTGGAATTCAGAAATGGTTTAGTTGTACAGTATAGAGCAAAACCAAGTTAAAACATAGATCCTAGTTTGGTGCCTATGTAGCTCAACAGTCTTTTACACCTCTCTGGAATACTATCCAAACAATAATTACTTCTGGTGACATTTTCTAGCCAAAGCATAAAACCTTATATATTCTATTATTATATTATTGTTCCCCATGTACTTTGCCAGGAACCTATTCTTTCCTTAGAAACTTTCAAAAATGGCTTGTTTTTACTGAATATAAAATTTGAAAAAAACCTCAAAGCTTTAAAAGTTCTAGTAAAGAAAACTGTTAGGCTCTAAATAATTGTAATTTACCATGCATTTTTAGGTTATATAATAGTTATTATGTATATTCCACCAATAGAGGATATCAAATCAAATATTGCAGAACACCTTAGTTCACCAGCAGTGAGAGCTGATGAATGTCTCCCCCTGCTTTTTGGTAACAAGCAACCATATTAGCCAAGAAGAAGCAAGGGAAAAACTAAAATTGTTACAGCAGACAGCCCTTGCAGGAGCATTGACAACTGTGTGCTCAGATTGAGAGGCCAGCCCTGCTAGAAACAGGAGGTCAGGCTAGGGATGTCCTGAGGTCCCTTCCAACCCCAATTATTCTGTGACTGCACAATTCTACCAGAGTAAAACTACATAGACCAGTGGTCTTCAGAAAGCATCACGACAAATTCATCTGTTCCTGCAAAAAAATGTTGTACTATGCTCCACTATCAACCACTAAAGTCTGGCTGCAGAAGCTAGAAAGGACAGATAGACTTATTTTTAGATCAGAAAGTCTTGCTTTACCTTCTCTCTACTTCTTTCCTTTATCACTTCAAAAGCTGTTGCTGTTGAGATTCAGTGGAATTACCTATTAAAGTATAATTCTAGCTCTACAGATAAAAATCCCGTATCAGTCCTGCAAACTATGACTTGCTAAGACAATAACTGCTGTTCTTTGTGACCCTCATGGCACACAAAAATTTTGAGAATTGGGTTAGTCATGAGCACCCCCAGTATGTCAAACTAGCCCAGTCCATTTTGACTGCCAGGCAAATAATTGCTCCATTTCTTCAAGTCCTACACACAAGATCTGTTTCTGCAGTTTATTGAATATGCCTTATGATAGCTGCTCAGCCATGGTGGAAGTTAAGTCTCTATGAAATGGGATTCCTATCAGCTTTGTATAGGGTCACACATCCAATATGTAAAGGTGACTGCCCTCTACAGGTTAAGCTTACTTGAGTGAAAGGAAGAACAATGCATCCAGAGGAGAATATCTAAACCTTCCTCAGATTATCTGGGGGTCAGGATTCTAAAATAGCTCCTCCATACTGTGAGGAACTTGCTATCTGAATTAATTATGCATTCCAGGTTACTTACTTTGGTTACAGTTTTGATACTATTCCACCATTAATATAATTAATGTTGTTTTAATATAATTAATGTTCTTTTAAGAACACATTTGTTTACACAATGAAAAGTGCAATGCAAGGCAGAATTCTCTTTCCAAAAACTGGTAATAGCTTATACAATCTATAAATTCAGGATGATGTGTTAAGAGACCAGACAGTTTGCCTAAAATGCAGCAAAAGGTGCAACAATTACCTCTATTGGCTCTCTAGTGGGCTCCACAGGTGTGTAGTTGCTATTCCTGTATGTTCCCAGGAAGGGACTGTTCTGGAGAAAGAGGAAACAAAATAAGAAAAATAAGAGAAACTAGGCAATAAGCACATGGCACAAACCATAGCAAGTGATATCAAGGTGTCATATAACCAAGAAAAAAATTGCCTAAACTATAAAATTTGAATCTTGACTTCAAAACCGTGCTTCTTCCTTAAAATTGATAAAATTTATTTTTAGTGCCTTAGGACAAAAATGACATATGTCAGATGCCAATTGCAGTTTAATATTTTCCTCTCCTAGCATTCCAAATTAGACATTATTAGAAGTTTAGTCCTTTTCAAAAGATGCTGATATAGAGTCTAGACAAATCTGGGCAGATCTGTGTCAGCAGCAGGGAGATGAAAGATTGTTCACTGAAAAGATCATTCTTCCCTCCAAGGGAGGTTGTAGAAATTTCATTGTTATTTTTGTCCCCTATTAATGCAGCATGCATTCAGGAAGACATGCACATCATACAGACTAAAAAAATTCACCTGGAGGCTCACTTACCTCAATCAAGAGAAACTCCAGCATCTGCATAAGACAATCTTAAAAAACTTAAAATTTAAAATTAGAAGGCAGGTTTTTATGGTAGTTAAGGTTGCCTCAAAACAAATAATTTTCCATGGCTACTGGCACTTCTATCAATGACCTTTTCATAGCACTTAGGGTTACTAAAGGCTTACTATTTCTGCAAAAAAAGGCCATTTTCTTTTCAAGGGATATAAAACTTTTCTTTGCCTCTTCTGAAAAGCAACATCTTTGGACAAGAGTGTAGGAAGGGAAAGAAGCATAAAATCCACATTATTTGGCACTGAAGAAGTTGCTGAGTTCATTTAAAGCTGCTTGGAAAGAAGGCTGGGTAAAGGAAATAGGATCAATTTGAGCAAATCAGAGGACTTCTGAAATATGCTGGTTAATAACTCAGCAGATTTTCCTCATTTGACAGGATGGACACAATATGGACAAAAGCCTTGTACACAACTTGAACACCTGCCTCCAGAACTAAGAGAAGTCAGAACTCAGCTCCCTGATCTGTTCAGCTCTTCAACCTTCTCGTTGGAAGTGCTGAAGAAAGGGAGCCAGTTCCTGCTGCCTGCAGCAGTCATTTCCACGTGCTGGTACCCAGCAACTGTCCTGCAAGTTCAGCAGCTTGTTTTGTAACTGCAGAAGCAGCTTCCAAAGCTCTGAAGTTTCCTCTTATGGATCAGGCCAGGAAAGCCAACCTGACACTAATCCAAGAGACAACAGATTCTGGGTTTTCAAAGCTGCTGTGGTGCCCAACCTCATTGATTCTGATGGGAAAGTTAATGCAGCATATTCTGTTGTTTGCTGCTTGAGCTGCCTCTGTACTTCACAAACAACAAAGAACAACCTCTGCTGTAGCTGCAAACACACAAATCAGCGTGTTGTCAATCAGTATTCATGGCACATCAAAACTGCCATGGGACATCAGTGCAGGTATATAAGAATACCTGCTCACTCAGAGGTAAACAGACAACAAAGCTTTAAGTAAACTTATTCCAGATACACCAAATCCCTGCTCTCTGCAGTACATACAAGCAGTACAGCCTCCTGACAGCAAACTTCTATAATGTGGTTTTGTTTACCTGAGCTGGACAGCCAAGGACGATGTCAGCTGAGAAATCAAATGAGTCAGCTTTCTGGCCTACAGGCTGTAGCTAGAAACAAAGACAAAGGAACCTATTTTTTAACCATGTCAGCTCATCTTAAATTTGTAAAACAATTCTAATTGTAAAAAACTCCAACATAAATATACCTTTCAAATCTATATACAGATGCCTGTATTTACAGACCTAGATTCAAGGCTGAAATGCATCTACTTGCCAGAAAGAGCATGGCAACAGCAAAACAAAAGAGCAGCTCTAGAAAGAAGCTTAAAATGGGAAGTGGAAAGCTACAGTGGATCAGTTTAAACTCCTGGAGGATTTTGGCAGGCACATGAAGTACCTTGGAATTTTGCCAGAAGGCAAGGTCATAAACTTTCTTCTTTTGCACAAAAGACATTAAGAGTCCCTCAATTTTTTATAGCTAAGCTGCATGATGGCATCTCCAACAAAAGGTTGTTTATGTGTAGAAGATAGTACCAAATCTAATTAGAGGTACTGCTTGATGATTGCAAGCAATCATGTCAGCTGTTAAAACATTAATCCAAAGTACATGGAAGTTACTATTCAGGATCCAAGATACTGCCCCTGACTGCTGGGTACTCCTGCACTGCAATGCTAAGTAAAATGGGTTTGCTTAAGCAATCTTCAGTGACTTATCTTTATTGAGCTTAACTCATTTCCAAAAGTAGTAAAACTTAACTGAATTAAAGCCACTTTAATTCCTAATGAGACATTAACAACACAGGGATTTAAAACAAACATCTAAGTAATCAGTTTTAAATTGACAGATGCAGTTACAATTCTTTATTTGGTGGTTTCCCATAGCAGCCCATAGAAACCCATAGAAACATCATCCTTATTAAATGCTATCCTGCCTTGCATAAAACCAGATGAAGAAGACCTGAAGTCACAAAATTACTCTGATCATGCACTTGGAGCACCCCTCTCCTCACCACACACTTAAAGAACCAAGAGATTCTAGGCAGAGAGCAGTGCTAAAGCTGGAGAGTATTTAACTAGTTAAGGAGAGATAAACACAAGGGCCAGCATTATTCAGGCCTTAATTGCAATGCTTATTACAGAGATATTTTAATGGTAGTCAGGTCTAGGTGAAGATCTCACTGCATGCAGAGCCATGTCACCTTACCACAGTATTCCACAGAGCCCTGGCAAGCTGAGAATGGCCTTTCTGGCTTGGATGGAAGCAGTCAGGTGCAAAGTAGGAGACATCTGGTTTCCCATCCTGCAAATAAAAGCATAAAGGACATCTGAGCATAGAAAAATCCCCACACTTCCAATTTGGAGTTGCTGAGGCCAAATCAGAACCACTGAAGAGAGATTCATGTTACTTGCTCTCCCTGCTCCATTGCAGAAAAGCTCTTGATTATCTGGCAATGCAAGCTGTACTTCAGCAGACCCATGAACTACCAGAAATACCTAGCTAGGGATGACTATGTGCTTCCATGGGCAGATCCATCCAGAAGCAGCAAAACCACAATTTTCAGTGATGGGTGCAGTTCCTCTTCAGGTTCTGCAATAAGGATGAGTTCCTCTCCCTGGTTGCAGTTGCCATTAGAACTGGAACCACAGGCAGCATTATGCTCTGCAGTACCTTCTGCAAAGCTGTGAGTTTTGAAAGGATCAAGAAGCAAGTAAATGTTTGATGGAAGGCAGCCAGTCCAACCAAGCACACCAGAGCTTTCTAAACAAAACTGTACTTTAATACAAAATACAATAATACAAAACTTTCCTTTCTAAACAGAACTGTACTTTAATATGGTGTTAATACAGGTACTGGAGGATCTGGAGGAATGGAGTTTGGAAATTTGTCTGTCACATGAATCCTGAAATTAGGGTCACACATGACTGAAACAACTATTTTTGGTCAGAGCGGTTTTTCCTCAAGCTTTGAACAGGTTTTTTTCAGTGTGGTTGGACTTGCTTTTTAGAGGACTACTACCAAAATTTGCATCAGATTTTCTTCCATGTTTAGAGACAGAGTTTTCAGTTCAGGCACATCTGAATGTTGTGTGAGATAAGAAATTGAAAGAGCATCCTGAACTTCTTAAAATCTGAACTAATTCTTGTGAGACTACAAAAAAAATATGTTCATAAATATTTTGCTTCTTCTGTTCTTATTTTTGTGTTCCCTACCCTCAGTACCAAAAACCTTAGAGATGACTTCTCATGGGCACCAGCTTTACACACAAACAAAAACTTCATGCAAACAAAACAAAGGAGGTCTGTGAAGCAATTTTGTCCATAGCAGCACCTTAACTTTTCAAACTTTCACCAACTATTGCAAAGATTTTCAGAATCAGTCCAGTTCAATTATGCCAGAGGAATCCCTGCTCAATATTTTACTCCAACTCCTCTTAGCTCCAGGTACATATGAAAATAGTTTCAGCTTTAGTGAAAGTTTGAGTCTTTTCCTAGATTTACAGCTTACTGGAAGTTGCCATTCAAGGAACTGAAATATACATCAACAGATACATATGAACTACATAAAACTACTTCCACAAGATCATCCATAAAGTTCCCTTTCTGTCAGACACAGAAAAGTAAGTTCTGTGGCATAAAGGGGAGCTGATGCCATAGTCTTCACTGAGCAATGCAGCTATGTTGCTTTAAGAAGTGAAACTTAATAACTTGGTCTTTTATTAATCATGTTGTATTTTCAGGAAGAAAAATATTTATGTACTTCAAAGACCATACACAAACACACCTCTTAAATCAAGTTTTGACTCATTTTCCAAAACAGTAATTGATATTGACAGAACAATAAGTAAAACTAAGAACTGCTTACTATATGAAGAAATCTGTTGTACTAGAGAAAAATCAGCAATTTCTCATAAGAAAAGCACAGAACAAAGTGAAACTGTTTTGCATATAGTCTCTATAGGTAAGCTACCCATCCTTAGTCCTTTAGATGCAGAAATCACCTTTAGATCATACCTGATCAAGAGGAAGCTTCAGATTTTGGAGGAAAGGCTGGATGACGACTGTGAAATTTTCATGAGTGTCATATCTGCCAGACTCTATCAGACTCTGAATGCCCAACTGCAAGAAACAAAGAACCACCAGCAATACTTCAACAACATCTCTGCATTATAACTATTTTCTTTGTTTGCGTTTTCTGAAAGCGCTGGAATCAAAAGGAAATTTTACTTGTGAACTTAAATAGCCACAGCCACTGGCAAAAGAGGGCTGAGGTGCTGCAAAGGGGCTGAGAAGGCTGGAACACAATGTTGGAAGTTTTTGTCAGGGACAGGGTTTTGGTGAATAATCTCTCACCAATTAACCTCTACTAGGAAACATCATTTTTCTGAAGACCTCTGCTGCTAATTTTGGTCACATGAAAGGTTTGGATAGCATCACATGAGCTCCTTCTGAGTTCATATTTTGAGTAAAATACAGATATGATATGTTTCTTGGTAATCAAGAGCTCATCTCCACTGGAAATAAAGTAACTGTACCACTCTTAATAGTCATACCTGGTAAGCTTTGATGGCGTCCCTCACCATTGTTAAATTTTCTGAGTTTTCTTCTCCTAAGAGAACACAGCTGCACAGATAACTGTGGGGGAGGTGAGAGGAGAAAACAGGAACAGAGAGAGTTAAACATCTGATAATGCAGATACCACCTTCTGTCATGCAATGCCCTCACAACACGGGTGTAACAAGGGAATCTGTACAATCACGTTTTTGTGAAAACATCTTATTTTCTTTGTTATTGTAATTTCAAACCTTAATCTTATTTTCTTCCTCACATGAATGATACTACTTTAAGTAATTTTGGTTTCACACCGGGTATATCAAAGTAGTGCACATTGCACAGAAGCTAGTTTTTTTCATTAATTTCACCCTGGCATCCAAAGGCCCTGCAGACTGACAGAGGTGCACACCAGAGCCCCTGGGGAACTAGAAAACAGTACTTTGAAATGTAGTGCCTGCTTTACCTCTGAGCTGACACCTTTCCAACCAACAATTCCTTCTTCATTCCCAAGACAGAGAATTTGTCTCTGTAAGATCAGCAAAGAATGCAAATTACCCATTGCACTAAAGCCTCTGCAACGGGGGAAACCTGTCTACTCCTCAAAAACATCATATTCCTGCAAATCTAAATGTTTGTGCACTTCAACCCCATCTTGAGGAACCCTGTTTCAGTAACTTTAACCCTGGCCTTTGAGGAGTACATTATGTACAGCTCTAGATATGGAAAACAGGTCAAAGCCAGGAGAAGGAAATGCCATCAGGCAGGGTGATGTCAGCACTGCATGGGAAGGAATTCCACAGGACTGTGCTGCTGCCTTTAAACATCAGTTCAAATTACAAGGGAAGCACAGAATAAGAACATCAATAGTGAAACATAAACTTTAAGGAATTTAGAGATTTTAGAGGAGCTAAGATTTTAGTTAGAGATAAGCCTTACTAGAGTTAATTAAAATAAATGAGTAGGCCTTGATGAAGTTAAGAGTTAGTAGTTAACTAATTATTGATTGCTTGTCAGCACAATGTTTAGTTAGCTGGGTTTATAATGAAGAATATAAAAACTGAAAAATAGCTTTTAGGAACATAAGACAATTGTGGGACTCCTCTGTTCTGAAACCAGTTGAAGACAAGGAATGGGAGTTCTACCAAGAATTCATTTGTCATATTTGATTGAAAAGGTAGAAAGGTCAGAATGAGGAAGACTTCCTTTACTTCCTCTAGCATATGAAGTAAGGAATGGGATGTACCAGAATTATGAATATGTATTTATATTTTGGGTATTCAATACTTGTATGGATAAAAAGACTCTGTAATCACCTGGAAGGTGTGGTGTGTATTTGGGAGCGATCCCGCACGCTGCTCGGTGTCACAATAAACACACACTTTCTAACTTTAAACTGTTAGAGAGTTTTTTTCTGTCACAGTTGGATATTGGTACTAGATCAATATCCATATTTTTAATAAATCAGTAGGACAAAAGGAAGTCAAACCAGCCTTACTCTGCCATGTAAGTGGGGCAGCGAACTGAAGGGTCCACAAATAAAGGTCTCAGAGCAGTGACGTCCTCCACATCAACCAGACTCACCAGAGCTTTTGGAACCTGAAAGGTAAGTCAGACTTTGACTGGTTACACAGCCCACAGTGCATTTATTTTTCCCCAAAGTCCAGCCATTTGACACCGCTTCCCTTTCTCCACCACTGGAAGATAAAAAAAAATTAAAACTAATGAAAAAGCCACAAATCCTCCACCAATCTCCTCCAGCTCAGCTTTTGATCCTTCTCCCACACCACAGCTCAATGTTACTATCTGTCATTTCAGACTGCATCTCACTACTGCAGATAGACAAGACACAAGAAAATGGTTTTTTGTACAAGGCAACAGCATATGTTTGGTACTAGAATGCAAAAAAAACCAAAACAAAAAACAACACAAAATCAAACAAACAGAAGAGCTAGCATCAGTCAGTCATGTCTCAGTGTGAGCTAGAATGCTGGGATAACTTCACAGTACTTGCCTCCTTATGCAGAATATCAAGAGTTTCTTGAATCCTTTTGATGTAATTCCAAGCTGAGTAGTGATCCTGATAGAAACAGAAGAGATTTACTGTCAAATGGAGACACAAGGAATTTAGGTTGGGAGGCTGGAGAATCACATGAATTCACTTCCTTTTCTGCCCTACAACACAGTGGTCAGTGAAATGTTCTTGCTTCTTTCTAGAGACTGGGGATTTTAAACATAGTAATTAATCCAAAACATAGGGAGGCTTGGTGAAATTTTGGATTTAAAATAAACCTTGTTGAATAGCAGCACATTTAACCCAAATCCACTGGGCCCTTCATGTAAAAATGCAGGAAGGGACCAATCTGAATGCATGCTGAACAGCATAGACCAAACAGCCCAAGCATGCTCAGAGGCAGCTGATAAGCTCTCATAAAATTATGTGAAATCATTGCTAGTCAAGGTCATAGCTATAAATAAGGCTATATAACTTGGCAGCAGCAGCAAAGATGCCTAGCAAGGCTCCTGCAGAAGAAGCACATTTCTCAAGCACAGGGGGTTGCAGGAGAATCAAAAATGCTCACAAGTGAGCATATTAAAGGCAAGAGTGAGAGCTGGGAGTGAAAGGTGGCCTCTCCCTGTTGCCTGCCCACTCAAATCCCATGACCTCCTTATGGCAGCCCTAAAGGCTTCTCCAGAATCTAGAGAAGCATAACATTCAAATAAGCCTGAGCACTGCAGCAGCTTCCCTTACATATACACCTCACCAGCTCCTAGCACCTCCCCACACCGCGTTATGGTGTGGTGACAATTGTAGGGTTGCACTGCTTTGAACTGCCACTGCCATTCTTGGGTATCTAAAGAGGCCAAGCTAGCAGCAGAGCAGTTACCACATCAGGGAGTGAGGCATTTCTTCCCTTCCATTTTTTGCTTATGGTCAAAAAACAGTAGTCAAAGCAGTGGCTCTTATCCTGGAGTAAGCCAGAGAAAACAAAACCATCCTACTCTGCTGCTGGTAGCTTTTTATATCAGGGTATTGCCAGCAACAACCCCTGTCAAAGCATACAGCAGCCCATATATTACTCAAGTTATCTCTGTGAAGGCTTTATGATTTCCCTTGAGGTGTTTCTACACTGTCACCACAGTTTGAGATAGCCAGTGTCACTACTCACAGGATTTTTGCAATAGATGCACAGATCATTGGCTCCAATATGCACTGTTATGAGCTTCCAGTCAGCACTGAAGTCAATTCTCTGTGCAATAAAGAAGAAAATAACAAGTCTGAATTTCTTTACCTTTGTGATATGCACATGGTGTCATTGCAGGTGGATCTGCTGTGTGAAGCAGCACCTATTCATGCTGTAAGTTTGAAGGAGTCCCAGACAGCTTACCTGATCAGTTTTCATAAGACTCACAAGCCTTCTTGCCTGGCCTGGCAAGTGCCTGGAAAGAAGGAGAGCTAGTGAGTGAATCTAACGCCCATGTTGAGAGATCAACATTACCACGCTTCAGACATCTTAAATCAAGTTGACAGATATCAGAAGGGTTGAGTGAGGACACAGTACAATACTCATGTTGCTGTGATCAAATTACAGGTTCACGTCTTGGTAATAAAATCAACATCAAATCAAACTTGATTATACTATATTATTGATGAATACAGATTTTACTCAAGATCAGTAATTAATCTGGAACTGTAAATTCAGCTCCTATTACAGTGCATAGCTCCCAAAACAGCTAAAAACCAGATATGGCAACAGTTGTAAGCAGAGGGTCTCTGCAGAGCTAGGCTGCTATCAACCTATTCCTTGTAGACTAAAACACAGGAATCCCCAGTCTCAATACTTATCTGGCCTCTTGAGCAACATGTACCTGAAAAACACAGGTTTCAGATCTCACTGTGCACACCCTTCTCATTTTTGTAGCCTGCACCTACAGTACATAACTGTGTGAAACAGCTCTGTGTACACAACTTTCCCAGGGTATTTAAAAATCCAAGAAACCTTCAAGATTACTCAGAGAAATTAAGATGACAGCCTTGCTGTGTTCCAACAGCCAGGTGAGCATTCTCATTCTCTTTTTTCTGTACATATATATACACACAGATAGATAGGATAGATAGATAGGCTAGGTTAGATTAGATAGAGAGATAGGTGTTCTAAAGTGCAATGATTTTTGAATTACCTAGGCTGAGAGCTTCAGCTTTGTTTGACTGCCCTGACAGATTGGTCTTCAAATATGCATAGGGAAGAGAAGAGAATGGGGTCAGGAAGCATTGACCTTCCAGGCAAGTCTGTGGCTCCGAATGAGCTTCATCTCCCTCTAGGCTCTTGTTAAAGACACTGGCTGTCTATCATTTCTGGGAGCATGTCAGCTGGCATTAATAAGCATGACACTTGTTTTGTTTGGCAACCAGAATTTAGCTCCCCTTTGCAATGCTTTGTTTACTGTAGGAAAAAGAGAGGTCTCTCACCACCCTTGTCCAGTTGAATACTGATCTAACACTGGCATGGGAGCATCTACTGAGGAATGAGCCCTGTCATACATCTGCTTGTGACACAGACACTGTGTGCACGTAGTAGTTCTTATCACCAGTACCCTTGTACAATGTCATAACCTACTTATTTATATCCCAAAGCTATCACAAGCCATGAGTGGTCACAGTCTCCTTCTGTTCTTACTGTGGAAACCCCTAAGCTAGGCATTGTCTGCAATATTGACACAGAGGAAAACACCATTTATTGATCTGACAGTCCACAACATATTTGATTTCTCATACAGTCAGTGAGGTGCTGATGCATCCTGAGCCAATGCAGTCAGCAAGATCCAATAATATCTTGAATGAAATAGTGCCAGCAATGATCCATCCTTGAACTGCAGTTTCAACCAAATTTACATCTTGACCAATGATTTACATCTTGACCAATGGAAACAGTTTGCTAACGGGAAATACAGATATTCACAATTCCTGTCACCTGTTTTCTCCTCTCTCTCTTAAATTCTAAACCTCCTTTTTTTTATTTCCCCACATGAAATCAGAGACCTCAGCCAGGCTCTGCTTCAGCTACATTATTCAGATCTATCCTTAACTTTATCATGTACTTAAGCACTTTGGCAATGAATGCAGATAGGCTTAGGAATATTTTGCTGTATGAGACCTGCATTATTACATTTTCATCTAGTTCAATAAAGAGCTCTTCAAAGCAGCCATAGATTTAATTTTAAGAAACCCTTATGCCTGGTTTCTATAAGCTGGTAAGGCTGCAAAATTATCTGATTTCAGAAATGTCCCAGGACGTCTGGAAAGCACTTTCCAGGTAACCATAAAGCAAGACAGGCCAGTTAACAATTCTTAAATACCAGCATTAGCTGGTGGACTTTTTTTGCCCTGTGAATCACTGGAAAATGGATGGTTTTGGCTGATGAAGAATAAATGTTGAATTGCATTATCATTCCAGGGTCAAATACCTAAAGCAGGAGAAATATTTCCATACATTGCAATACACTTCAGTACTTGACTAGGATGAATTAATCTTCTCAGGTACATCAAGAACCAAAACATTAAAGGACAGAACCCCAAAAGAAGTATTTGAGAGCTCAAGAATAGTGTTTCACAGGACTTTTTGCACAGCTTTCTGCAGAGAGTTATGAGACAGAAAAACAACAGAAGACAAGCAGAAATCTGGCATGATTGTTGTCTATGTCTCCTTGCTGAATGTTTACAAAACATGGCTACAAAACAAAGACAGCTCAATTTCATCATGTTTATCCAGTCCAGTCACTTGTAGGGAAAGAGAGAAAACGAATTGGTATTGATGAAATCGGCAGTTTTCATTAGACTTGCATCCATCAACACATTTCAAACAGCTGACAAATAGCTATTTAATAGCAATGCCTCAGCTGCTGACACAAGCTGCCCTAAGTCACCATTATGACTTAAGATGTTGTGTATCCTACTTCAAGTACTCCCACCAGACCAAAAAGCCTTTTTTTAGGATTTGGCTGATAAAGAATATGAGACAGGCACCTCTCTCATTCTTTCATGCAACAAGCAAAAGCTAGAGGTAATCTGGATACATGCTGCATATAGTATATTAATAAATTCTCATTGATGGCTGATGTGCATTTCACTGACATACACATTTACATTTGGTCACCACTAAATACAAAAATGCCTTCTTTCAGTTCTGTGGGGGCTGTAGGATATAGCAGGGGACCTAGCACTCTATTTCTGTCAAGAAATCCAAGTATTTACTGAGATTACAGAATGAGTCAGAAGTTACACAGGGTCTACAGGAGAGCAATAAAAAACCTGATAAATCCTAATAATCTTTGCTTAGATACAGCAAACACAAACACCTCTCTTGGCTCCTGAACTTCACTTCCAAGACTCCTTTGGGAAGCAAGATGAATTTTTCTTTAAACAAACAAATTAAGGTCTGGATAATAGCAATTCACAATGTCAAATCTGGGCATGGTCTGCCAGGTTCTGTGCCCAAACTATGACTGAATTCAAGCAGCCATCTGTTTTGTTAATTAAACAGCACTGACTTTGAATAAGTATCCAGGGATTTCTAGGATAAGCAATATAGCAAAGCTCAACTCATGCAGCTTCCCAGGTGTGACTAAAAGCAAAGAGCCAAATTCAGGTGACTGCAAGACATTATAATTCCTATTATGTTGGCAGAACTGGCTCCAACTGCACCAGGTCTGCAATGCACCAAAACCCATGGATAACCATTAGTAATTCTCTTTTCTTAAGATCCTAGACTGGGTTTTTCCCCATCTCCCTCCTGTCTTTTCCTGCTTGCTTATCCAGAAACCTGAGGCCACAATTACATAAGACTTCATCCTATTTTACTCCTTGTTTCTCTTATCAATTCATTACATGTTCAATTTCTAAAAACATTTCACATTCTCAGATTTACTGACTGATAAATAGATAAATGAATAGATGTTGAACAGGAAGAGTAGAAACCTCTCAACTGTTTCTGCCAGTTTCTTGTTTGTGGATTTCATAAGGAGGACTGTTAGTTTCATTTGAAAGTTCAGCAATGAATTAAACCCATACGTTTAATGTGTTTTGAGCCAATTTCCACTCTAACTCAACTGGTTCTGCTTGCTCTTCAGAACAAGTTGTGACAGCACATGAGACAGTTGAAAGGCAATTAGATGAAGCATCCATCACCTACAAATGTAAAACAAAAAGCTACGTACTCAGCCAGTGCTCCAGGAACTGCCTGGTTAAGGAATGCATTGGAATCATTCTCACTCCCAGTACCAGTTGAGTAGCCCATGATTGCAACATTGAACTCTCGAAGGATGTCTGAAAAACAGAGGTGGCAATGAAGGCAAAAAGACCCCAGCTGCTCCCTGCCTACAGGGACTAGAAGAACACACCAGCAGTGCCACAATTTTCCTCTGACAGCCCAGCTGCTGCCACTGCCAGCCAGCCTTGATGGATTCACCAAGCAGTGGGGAGAGGGGTGGCTCAGCAGTGTGCTTGCAGTGCCTGCACTGGCACCAGCAGGTAGGACTGGGGACTGCTGTGTGCACTTCTCTCTCATGTTGTACTGGATAAAGCCTAAAATAAAATTATCTGTCATACGACGTTGACTTTGTGAAGCAAGTGTGAAAGGTCCTTTAGCCCAGCTGGAGTTGGTTTTCACCTAAAGCATCTGGGCCTGCTTTACTGTTGTGCAAAATCTCATATTACTGACAAATGTGAAGAACAAAGCCTCAGGTGCATGGTTCTGATGAAGTTCCACCATGTTCTTCATAGCAGCTTCCAAAAGGAAGTTGGCAGAGTAATTTACAGCTGAGAATGAACATGGCCACGTTGTAAACCACAAAATCTACTTCAATCTCAAAGACCAAGTTTAACCACATTTTACAGAGGGCTTTATCAAATGTAATAGGACTCAATGAATCAAATTGCTTATTCTAATTATATTCCTGCTACATTCTATTTAAATAATAGCCAACACACAAAGAACAGTTTACTGGCCCTCTTTGAATAGAAGTTTATTACTGCAGCTGATCCAAACTGAAAGTTGAGTAGCTCTACATTAACAATAGACTGAGCTATGTAAAGTTCTAGGTTTCAGTGAAGAGAAAGTTAAAATTATTCCCTTCAGGTTACATGTATGAGTAGGCAGCGTTATTTACCAAAGAGGCCTACTCTATGCAAATATTTCTTTTGGAAAAATTATGATGGAATATTTCTGAAAAGCAAATGTTAACTACGTCATGAGCACAGACATAACAAGGTTATTTAGAAATTCAAATAATATTCACCAAAGGTTGAAAAGGGAGAGGGAAAAGTAAGTATGGGAATTTCTATCTGTTCTCAGCTTCACTGATGAAGGCAACTTTTTATTTCTTAGTTGTAGCATACAGTTTCTTTCAAAGGTAGTTCTTGTTAATTACCCTAAAGCAGCTTTGAGATACTTAAAAACTCTCTATAAATCTACCAGAAATTAGTCCACTGCATCTCCTCAGTATTGCTATTTATATCTAGCAAAGCATTTACTTACTAGGTAAAGTAGTCACGTTCTCCAACGATTCATCTCCTCCAATACTAAAATGAGAAAGAAAAATCCCAGTCACTCACCTCTTATCTGGACAAAGACAATAAACAAAGTGAAAACCTGCTACACATCATGGAGAAAAGCAAAGGGTTCTTAGTTTGGAAACTATCATTCTGTCAGAATCCATGGAGATGACAGAAGTGGAAGTGCTGTTGGGGAGAACAGGTGAGGTTTCAGTCGTGATGATATTTGTCAGAAGGATTTAATGCCCTTGTAGATGTACAGGGGTACAGTCAATCATTTATCAAGTGGCAGAAAAATGCCTGACATAGCTTCATACTCAAATACTCAATTCATACTTAAGTACTGCAGATTAAAAGGTCAACTTTGAGGTCCATTCCAGCCTCATGAAGCCCTCTAAGGTAACACCAAACACAGACAGCCCTTGAGTGATAAGAGAACTTCAGCAGTAGCTCCTCACTCCTGCTTTCTGCACAGGGATATATTTCTTCAGCTTTTGTGTTAGCAGGACATTCTGAGGCCACACTCCATCTTACACAGAGGCAATAGTACAGCACAGAACTGCTTCAGTCAATATCAACAGAGCTACAGCACAACAGCAAAACAATTTAGTCTTTTATGACTGTGTGTTGCTATATGTGGCAAAGTTCTCTGGCCAAAGAAACCATTTCCCATGACACTACAAAAAGTTCAGAAATAGAAAACTTTGAGAAGTCCTAAGACCAAAAAGTTCTGACTTGTTTTGTAGATTTCCAACCTGACATCCCAACATAAAAATACAAACTGTTGTTGGCAGCCAAAAATGAAAGCATGGGAGAGATCAGAAAGCTTGCTTAAAATCCACTGCTGAAACTATTTTCTGTAAAGCTACCCTTGTGACAAAATCTTGATACACCTTTAAGAAATGCTAGTCTGAGAAGTAACCTTTTTTCCAACTTTCTGACAGCTGAAAGACCTAAAACACATCTCTTCATCACCTTGGCTGAAGACTTACCTCCAAGACAGTCCCCGGTATTGAGTGATCACATCCTGGAGGGTATCTGAGGCAATTCCTGAACCAGCCTGGACATTATTTTTCATTAACCAAATGAAATTAAAGCACTGTTACTAATGCAATGATACAAATACATAAACAAATACAATTTGCAAATTTAAATAGAATTACATAGTTGCTTTATTTACTTTTTAATTGAATTGATGTCTTCCGAAGTTTTAAAAGGCATCTGACTTTTCCCAGACCTTTCTCCTGAAGGACATAACAATACCTTTCATAATTATTTAAAAGAATCATATTGTATATGTGACACACAAAATGTATGATGGAGCCGTGGAACAAAGATATGGGTCTAGATGAGCTAAATAACACTTTTATGGTTGCATTAGTCAACAGTGATGAAAATCTCAATCAAATACACGAAGTGGCTAATGATATGAAACACTGCATGAACTCAGCAGAGAAAATAAGCATGTATCAGAAAGAAGCACCATAACTCATATATATCAGTTTGAAAACCATTGTGCTAAATTGAAAGATTTATAGCAGAACTAGAGCAAGGAGGAAGCACTTTCTACACTTACCCTGAAGAAAGAGGCAAGCTAGCAACTACACCCCTCCTAAAACACCTCCAGAATTCAGAAGCAGAGTTCCTGACAGCTGTGATTGTATAGTTTTATTCTAAATCTCGGTGCATGTTAGTACTTGAGTACAGTACTAAGCAGCTATTTTCTGCTACCTTAGATTAAACCACAATACTACATTTTCTTCTATGTATAAACTTTATTGAAATAACAGTAGATTGGTGCTCAGAATAACTATGCACAGGCCAAGTGCAGCTCTGAGACAGCAATACATCACTGCATGTTCTATGAGAGCAGATTTTATTCCCAGTTCCTACAGACTATACTTAGAAGCAGAAACGCTGCAGGGCCCTAGATATTACAATACAGCAACCACAGCCATATACAGAATATATTTTATTTGTTCATACTGTGGGTTTACATCAAAGTGCTTCTATTTATTTCAGTAGCCTCCTGTGTGTAGGAGTTGTAGCACCACGTCTGCCAGAGAGTTGTGAAGGGCTCATGGTTTGTACACACAATGTGTTTGTTGTTAAGGCTCAGAATCTGAGAAACCTATGATCCAATTACATCTTTCTGTCCAGTGTTTCCTTTGACTGGCTGTAGAATTTCAATCTTTGACCAGTATGAAAACATAAGGCAGAAAGGCATAACTGGAATATGGGATGTCTGGATTTTGAAACATATTCCTTCTTGACTACCAAAGATTATCATCAGCAGCAAGAACTGTATCATGATCAAGAAACCAGTTAGGAGTTAAAACAAGCACAATAAAATGACTGAGTATCTTCTGAAATGTATTAAGTCAGAGGGCTCTCACCCTATACTTCCTTATTTCATTAATGCTAAAATGATTAAAATGCTATTATCCAAAACCACTTCTGCATTCTGTTCCTGAAAGAACTGAGGCTGAAAAACAAGGCTCATCAGGCCATTCCTATGCAGAAAAAAAAACTCTGAAAAGCACAGTAACCTAAGCTTTGTGCTATGTCCCATTCATTTCAACAACATCTGATCTCCTCTGCCTCCAACCCAGCAAAGTACCTAGGCACCTCTTTAAAGGATTTGCCTGTGTTTTTGCCCGAGTTCAAAAGCATTTGAATAAGTGTGTGGGGGAATGGAATGCTGGAAGACTGACACCTTCCTTCCTAGCCTAGCTGCTAGATCTATTATAATCCATGAATGAACAGATCTTTGCTTCTGGGAGCAATAGCTATTTCCCCTCCACTGGAGCAGGCATGTTTGTAGTTTTACCAAGAGAAAACAAAGTAAAAACACCATCTTCTCACCGTCAAAGAATCCCCAAGGGCTGCTACAATTTTCACATCAGCTGGCTTTAGGGAATGCACTGCAAAGGAAAGAGATACAGTTGAACCTGGTTAGGAAATGGATTTTTTTTCCCCCTGTGTATGTGAAATATGCCATTGTCATTGGGATGCTCTGTCACATTGTTTTGCAATACCCAAGTGATAAATCAGAAGCTCTTTCCAGCTCATCTCCTGTGAATGTAGCACCAACATATGCACATTATTCAGTTTTTCAATGGTTAACGTCCCTTCCAAAAAGACAGGAGAGCAAGGAACAAATAACAATAAGTGGCAATCAACATCCAGCACCAAAGTGAAGGTAAAACAATGCAGAACTACACAAAGCAGGAACAGCACGTTAAAGACTTCAAAAGACTAAGGAAAAGACAACATGAAGCCATTCAAAAAACCAAATACTGCTAGATTCCAGACTAACATGAATGAAGCTGTATTTCCAGTTTCTTTCCATGACATTTAGGTGGAATAGCTTATAAGCTATGTCAGCACTCAAATCTGGATTTCATCACAAGTTATTTTGAAATTCTCCACTGGCAGCAAGTTCAGTGAAGCTACTTAGTTAGAATGCTACCTGGCATACAGTGTGGCATTGTATCTGTTGAGCATCTGCTGAAAAACATGACATCCTTTCTGAGCAATGTTTTTCACAGTACAGCAACCATTTCAGCCAGAAATTAACATTCATCTTGAAGGACAGCTGAAGGTAATTCAACTTCTTAACATAAAAGAGGCAAGACTACCTGAAGTTGCAGGAGGGGAGGATGGAGACCTGTCCTCACATGGCAGCTGGCTTCCATAATTCTAAAGAGAAAAAGAAAGCTGAAGAGCATTTGGCTACCAAATACAGTCAGTAGAAACTAGGATCTTCCCAGCAGAGGCCAGGTGGATAAACTGGAGCCTCTTTAGCATGTAATTAACTAGGAAGGTCTTGGTTGCTCAATTCAGTAGTCATATTCCATATTGCTCAGAAGAGTGTGGCATCCTGTACTGCATGTGTTTAAGCATGTGTTCTTACAGGTTCTTATATTTTTTGTTGCATTTTGTCTAACTCAGGGAGAGCTCCCTGCTCTGTGCCATGCACTCATCCTCCCAAACCCCTCTGGCCAAAGACTGATTTCCCCTGTGCTGCAGAACATAACTCATTTGGTTTCCATACAGGAACAGATGCAGCAGAGTAACAGCGGGATGCTGATGTTGACACTTACTGGAGATTGGTTAGGGTATGTGTAATTACTGTTCTTATATGTCCTCAGGAATGGCTCAGCCTACAAAACAAGGCAATCTGAATCAATGCAAAGCAACAGAGGAACACACAGAGATTTCCATTCTCCAAACTTTGACTCTCAGATGCCCGTAGATGATTAGCAGCTTGATGCAAAAAAGACACAGGGATTAAAAATAAATAAATAAATAAATAAATGGCCTTTAAAAAAATTGTGTAACAACAGTGTAAATCTGGGTTATATTTTTATAACAGAAGTTAGAGAATACCCTCAGGACCCTGCTGTGTGTGGCTCACAAGAAGCTCGTGGCCCCATTGTGAGGTATTGCCAGCGAGTCCTGCAGAGCTCTGCTGGCTGGTACCATCACTGCTCTGTTTCCCCTACTGAAGCTTTGCCATCCAGTGTGGATACTTGTTGGGCTTGGTTAGGTAGGCCAAACACCCTTCCCTTGTGTTTTGGCCACCTGTGATGTGTGACTCTGAAGAAGCTGAGTCCTGCTTACCCCCCATCCTCTCTTGGGTGAGCACTCATGCTGCTTTTGGTGGCAATGGCACAAACTGCGTGGGGAGGAGCAGATCACCCTCACAGAGCCAGAGCTCTGGGTAAAGGCTCCCAGACCCTCAGCCACTCCACAGAAACACAGACACCCTTGTAACTTACCTCAGATGGACATTTGAGGACCAGCTCATCATCCATGTTCTGACTATCTGTCTTCTTCCCTACAGGCTCCAGCTGGGTTGAAAAGGGATGCACAGATGAGTACCAAGAGAGGAATGGGTGATGCTGTGCTGCCAGTCATTGGAAACCACAAGACAACTGCAGCTGCCCCATGCACTGATTCCTTGTGTGCTGAAGAGGCTAATTCCCTTACACCTGGAATGTGGCCTGTGGTCAATGTGCCTGGCAGGCACCATCTTCCTGAGGTACAGCCCAAACACACCCAGCTTTACCATACCCCGAGATTATACTGCTTTGATATGACTGCTTTAACAATTCAGGTGACCTTTCTTCATATGATCACTCTTTTCCTTTGTAAACACAACTCAGAAAAGATAAGGCTACCTAGTAGATCTTGGTGGGGGGAGGTTTTGCTGCCAGGGCAGGATGAAGTGAACAAGGAGAGAGCAACACAACCTTTAAAAATCTTACCATGTTGTTCCACAAAGCACGTGCAGCCTGGGAATGAGACTTTTGGCTGAAGTGGAAACAGTCTGGGGCAAAATATGAATCATCTGGCCATCCCTCCTAGAAAACAAGATAGGTGCTGTCACAGAGGCAGCATATATGCAACAAGCCACGTGTTCTGTCTTCTCTCTTCCAGTGAGATAACCCAGCAGATTTCTAAACAAAGTATCTGCAAAGGCCTCTGAGGCAAACAGAATTAAACCAGGCCAAGTAAAGTTACTCACTCAGAACTGAGAAGCCTTTTAAAACTCTTTAATACACTATTCCCAAAGTAATGAGGAATACAAACCACTGTGACTCTGAGAAGAGAATACCTAGGCACAGATATCAATTGTGTTCTTTATTTCCCTTGAGATTTACACATTACAGTCCTTTGAATCATATGAGTTTTCATACTAAAAGTCATTTACCAAAGTTCTGTAAAGGACTTGATGTATAGGGAATGTAGAGCAAGTGCTTCCTGATGATTTTGACCTTAAATATCTACTTCATGGCTGTCCAATTGCAGTGTCCCAAATCAAGGTCTGTATTCCTGTTGCCCAGTATATCATATTCCACAAACATTTCATGCAATTTTCGATGGCAACTGAATATAATAATTAATTACTATGTCAGGAAACTGCTAGCTACATTTACAGCTAAACCAATTTTGACAAGTCAGTGACATTGCACCAGGATTCAATGTAGGTGTGGTTTTCTTGTTAGTTTTACCTGTGTTTTTGGCATTTCCATGTTAGTCATAAATGGCTGCACAACCACTGTGAAATCATCCTTCGTGTCATACCTTCCACTCTCCACTAACTGGCGGGTTCTCTCCTAAAGAGGCAAAGAAAAGTTGTCATGGTTCCTTCTCATCAAGCTGTTCCACCCTGTTACACCTCACCCAGGGGTTGTCCCTTCCTCCTGCAGAAGGTTTTCAGCTTGTGCCAGGCAGGCAACCCAGCTCCTTTTTGAGACCCCCATCCTGCCTTTTTGAGGACTGGTAGCCTGCTCAGGGATAAGGTTTTTTGTCACAAATATGTCCCTCCAGAACCACCAAAGTATTTTTGGTTTGGCTGACACGCTGTGCCTGAAAACTTGTTCCCGAGTTACCATGTTGTTTGGCTGAACCTGATTTTCAATAACATAACTGATCAGAAAACTGCTGACACTCTGAAATACTCTATTTCCTATGGCTTTGTAGCAATTATTCTTCTTGTCTGTTTTCTGGCTTAGTGAAACAGAATTGTAAAGATCCTGATCCTACTTTTTTAAATCACAACTACAAATATGTCATTAGAATGAGTGGAAACTGTCCCTTACTTTCAAGTTAGCCCACCTGTGGTCCCTTGATCAACAGAAGGATGACATTAAACTTCTAACAAATGCAATGTGCCTTACCTGATACATTCTGTTAAAGTAGATCAACTTCTTTAACTCATTGGAATCATTCTTAGGCTTTATGACACAAGGGCACAGTGTCCTGTGGGATAAGATCATGGCACTGAGATTTGCTCTTCCTTTTTCCCCCTTGCTTCCCAGCTGACAAGCTGCAGGATTAAAAGCTCTGAGAGGGATTTCTTTGAAAGGCCATTGAATGAGAGCATTACCTCTCACCCCTGTGTTTCTTCATAGCCCAAATTCTTGAGCAGAAATGCATTTATTAGGGATAAATTAATGAAGAGAAAGTGAGAAAAAGCTTCCATGCAAGCAAAAACCACACTGTGTGCCCATGGCAAGGTTTCAGCAGCAGGAGTGATCTCTGTGAGGAGGAGCCAGAGCTGCCAATTCTGGACACAGCTCCAGCAAACCAACCACAGGGTATGGCTGAGCCTCTCAGCCAAGCTGGTGGTGTCTCTGTGAAAACCTACCTGAGAAGGGCAGAAAGCACCAGAGAGAGAGGAGAGAACAATAGCAGGAACAAGGAAAGGTGCTCCATAGCAGAACAGGCACTCCTGGAAGGAACCACAGCCTTGGATGCAGAGGAGTGTGGGACTCCTGCTGGAGCACAGGACAAGAATGAGCAGGGAGGAGTGGCAGAGAGATCCCAGTGCAGACCCCAAGCCATGCCTGAGGGTGCCCTGCAGCAGGAACAAGGCTGGGGGAAGAGATGCTTGGAGAAAAGTTGAACCTGAGAAGGAGGGAGGACAGGTGCTTTAGCTGCTCAACTTCTTTGTTAATTCATTTCCCAATACCAGAATCTGTAGATAAATGTTGATGCTCATGGACAATAAATACAATTAAGCTCCCCAAATCAGGGCTGTTTTGCCTGCAATGATACTAGGTAAGTGGCTTCCTGGTTTTTATTTTGACCCATGATTTTCTTGCTCACAGTCCTTGTTTTCTCCCCATGTTGCTGGGGTGAATGAGCAGCTGAGGGAGTGCTTGGCTGGCCCCTGGGGCCAATCCACCCCAAAAAACTGATCACAAGTACATTTGTGCAACATGCTTTGCTTCAGTAGAACTGTGCAAGCATTCTTCAAGGTGGAGTTGCCACAAATTCATTCTAATCAGCTGAGAGAGTCAGAGGTTATAGTGTGTATCACAGCAAGGCTGGTAAAGCACCAAAACAATCACCAGGAGTGATGCAGAATTCTCCATCCTTAGAGAGCCATTCTAACCTGACACATCTTAAGATTTTGTGAACTCGTGTTGGCCACATTTATCCCTCCCCTGAGGTTTTGATCTTTCTAGTACATGGATATTTTTAGGATGTTCCATCTACCTGGGCATTTCTTCAGAAATCCAAATTAGAAGAAGGACTCCTTTCAAATATCCTGACAGTGTGACCACGGTAAAGCATCCCTAAGGGAGCTCTTAGAGAAAGACCTCCTAGAGGTGCATTGGATACATGTAAAATATACACAGATCCCTACTGTGTCCAAACTGGTCTTAATGGAGACCAGCTAACAAAAGCTTTTACTTCCACAGTACATCTATATGAGAACAATACAAATCTAAATTGTGTTTTCAGAAGTTTCAGAAACATATGTTGGGCAACTTTAGTAGACACATATTCTCTTTAAGTTGTTTGCTACTCTCAGAATAAAAAAAAAGAAGATTTTTTAAGATAAAAATATTCCTTAAGGTGGTTCTTCTACTCAGTAGAATGACATCATCATTGTCCCCCATGGGCTCTGCTTAGCACCCTGTAAACTTGGCTTGCTGCCAGACAGGCAAATGTTAAATTCAGCATGGCACCTGAAGTTATGTGGGGAGATTACAGCTATCAGCAGATAATCTAAAGGCTTTGCTAACTATCCTTGTCCAATGAATAAGGCCTGGAGATACCTGTGTGTTCTAGCCAGCAACATTTGTAAAAAGAAATAAATAATTTTTTTAAAATAACTACAACTGGCTATTGGGTGTACCAGCACCCTGAGTTTCAAAACCAATTTTCCACTGACAGCCACAAGGAAGCCACTCAGTCACAGCAAGAGGGTTGCATCTCTGTCTCTCCTGTAAAACCAGTGGCTGCCTACATTCACAGGACAAAGTTATTCTCCCCACCTGTCCAGAAAAGCAGAGACTTGCTGTTCTGAAAACAAGAAAGTCCTGCCAGAAGCAACTCCAGGGGACAATGCTGGACCCCGAGTCACCAAAAGCCCACTCAGGGTACAGGCCTGCCACCTCAGTAGTGGATTAACACTGATCTGGAAAGGATTGTTGAGACATAAAGCAACAATTCAGCATCCAAAACATCTACTTGAGACACTAATTGGATATAAAACTATGAATCAGCAATGAGATTACAGAAACTAAAAAACTGCAGAAGCAAGAGGAAGAGTTTTAAGTGCAGAAAAGTAAATCTGTAAATAGAACTAGAAAACCTTGTGTCTTAGTGTCTTCTCTATTTTCACCAAAGAGTGCCCAGCTGAGCTTTCTCTGCTCTGGCTTGAACTCACTTGCAGGGTAAGTGTGGAGTCAAAAGTGGCATAAGAAGTTCATAAGAAGCAATAACAGCAGGGCTCAGAGACAGAGACAGCTTATTCTAAATGCTGCGTTGAAACCAAAATGTGGAGACATGCACAGGGAAAGATGTTTGGTAGTCTGAAATAATAGATCCTTTTCCCTTTGAGAAAAAACTTCCTGAGAAGACATTGCAGCCTTCTGAACAGCAATGAGAGCTGTAACATAAATCATCTGCAAACCTCATCAGCACTTTTGGGCAGCTGTTGTTTGCTGACTGATGCAGCTCCCGGAGCCTTGCTATGTAAAGCATCGTCGCCAGGTTCACATATGCCCGTGGAACCTGCCAAGAGGACAAACAAATCCATGGCAAACCCCTGCAGCAGTGTTGGTTTTGTCCCTACACAGCCACAGCAGACCCTGGGAGCAGCTTGCTGATTCAAGCATTGTGTTTTATTTATAACAGAGGTGTTCAAAGTACTTTCTCAATAATTAATTCCCCACACAAGCAATACTAAATTACAGCCCCTGCCTGCACTGCCTAGTTCTATTCTAAATGTTGATAGCTGGTCACTTGAAAATGATGGCTTCAAAAAGAGGTTCATACAAGTTGTTATAGGGCTCAGCAATACCCAGACACCTGCTAAGTCTTCAAGTATTCTTATCATTCTTCATGTGGAATATCAGAATCTCTCTCTTAATGACCACAAAAATATACTTATTTGCAGTTTAAAGAACAAGCAAAGCATTTTCCACTCAGTTAATAATGTTTGTTCCACTCTGTTATAACATTTTTTTGTATTATTTATCCATAGCACATCAGCTAGAATCAAGAACATCCTTATTCCTTTGGTAAAAAGCTTCCCCAGCCCGTTTTGCCTTTCACAAAGATTTTCCTGTAAGCAGACACCTCTGGATACAGTAGTACTCTGCAGATAAAAGCAAGGAAATAAATTTTTAATCAATAATGAGTGACTACTTTGTAAACAGAACAGAAAATCCCTGCTCCAACATACCAGAAAAGTTTGCTTTACCTCTTTGTGAAGTAAGTCCAAAGCTATTTGTATATTGTAAGTGTAATTTTCAGGAGAATAGCGTGCCTGTTAAAGCAAGAGGGTTGAATTTCATTATTAGTTTACTCAGGCAGGGACAGGAATGACTAGCTGGAGTCTCTCACAGTAGTGTTAATGTTTCTAACTCTTGGGTCAAAATTAACAGAGTTATAGGCAAAATGGTCCTGTCTCTGCTTTTCTTCTTTCCCATCCCAGCTATCTCACTGGCAAGAAAAGATCTAGCAGCCACTGGATACCAGTGAGGGTGAAAATTCACAGGGTTTTATCAGACATCACAACATCCTCCACTCCTAGGCTTGCTTGGGCTGGTCTTAAAAGCACAACTAACAACTCATTAACAGGGGCCATACATGGGAGAGAAGAGTTTGTGGAAAAACTAAGTTTATTTCTGCTGTATGGAATATTAGAACATGTCTCCCATATGTTCCTTGCCTGCCACAAATAATGATGGGCAAAATTACGTGTTTAGCTGAGGATGAAATCACTTCATACACTTGCCTTTCAGTGCCAAAATTTCCTTGTTCCATTTTAATGGTTTAAACACTCTAATTTTATTGTCTCAAGTAATCCAACACTTGTTTTTTCACTTGTGGGACTACAGCAGTCACGTAAACTTTCTTATGAGAAATGCCTGTCTTATTTTCAGCCTTTTTTCTCTCTCATTTAATTTCAAGCAGAAGTTGATTGAGAGCCCCACTTGCCTACTCTGTAGAAGCAGACAGCTCAGATCCCTTATTCACTTCCTAAGTCACAGCTCTATTTGTACTTGTGCCACAGGAAGATGACTGTGATCCTTGGATGCACACACTCTCCTTGCCACTCACCCCAGTCATGTGAACAGGCACTTTTTGGGTTGACAGCAGAAGGTAAGGATGGCTAATTTGCTCCTTCCTTGTTTTATAACCATCTTACTGTGCTGCTCTGCTGTTCTTCCTGATCCAAAATTAATCATGAAGGACGACAAGTATGTGCTCAACTACCTGTGAGTAACTAACCCTCATCACTAAGTGAGGAGCCTGCCACAGCCTTTCAGCTCCTCTACAATCACATATACCAAAGGCTAGATACTGTATGTTTTATATATTTATATATATAGATATATATATATACACATAATTGGATTAGCATGAGCTGTGCTTAAACTTTTCCCATAGCACTGAAAATATGAAGAGAATACCAAGTAAGACTTAGGAGTGTGACAAGACAAGGAGTAAAACATTTGGTATTTTATCTACAGGAGGGTAAAGCAACCATGCAACAAAATGTTATCCTAGCTGGCAGCAAAACAAAGTCGCAACAATTACGTAATTTACAGATCTTCCAAAAGTATCTCTAACATTATTGAAACATTGTGCTGAGCAACCTGAAGGTCTCAGCACAGTTACATTCCAGAGCTGCACTATTTTTTTCTCACCCACCAAGTTCCTCCCTTGTACCCCCTGTGATGCATAAAGACCCTGGCCCAGCTCATGCTGCAGGGAACTTACTGGGTTCTCGCAGACTTTGCAGAGGTCATTTCCTCCTATGAAAAGTGTTATGAGCTTCCAGTCATTCTGGAAATCTATTCTCTACACAGAGAAGGAGATGGAATAGAAGTTTTAATTAAAAAAATAAAAGGAGGGAGATGCCATCAACATACTAAATACAAATTTCCCATTTCTCAGAGTATGTGGCTATCATTCCCTAGGCATCCACAACAAAAACAAGTTTGTAGTCATGACTGAAGATGCAGAAACTGCTGTGATCTAAACCAGAATTAATGGCATCACAGAAAACTATTTGCTTCGGAAAAATATTGCACAAAATCTGTGTGCTTTTCTTAGTAAGATCTTGTGCATACAGGGGGACTCTTCCTGCAGTCCTAAAATATATCTGCATAGCAAAAATGATGGCATGTGTTTTGCTGTGTGATAAATAATGCCGCTATCCTGCTGGTAAACCCTGGGGGACAATATATTTCAGACTTGCTGTGAGACAAAGTGCAAAGAACAGTGGGGCAATATTAACTCTATCTAACAATAATGGTAAAATATTACAGCACATTTTGTTTCTGCAAGGATTTTACAAAGGGATAGCTAGCTAAATCAAGGTAATTATGCTGCAGTAAATAATCACTTCCTAGCTCTGAAGAAAGGTTCAGAGATGCTTAGTAGCATATTGTGGATGTTGTGCTCAATATTCTAATGCTTTCATTTCAGTGCAAAACACAAGTAAGAAAAGCACCAATTGTGCATCAGCCTCCAATGGTTTGAAAACATCTGTCTTCAAAGGCTGCAGGCAATATATCCCCGCTAGTAAACATAGTCTTCAGTAGTTTGGTCTCAAAATATGAAAGAAAAATAAAAAAGATGGACAAACTTCCTCCTGCAGTCAACAAGTGCTTTAAAAAATGGGGGTAAGAATGATCTCTTAAATCAGAGATATATGACCTCTACTATGAGCATGTATTCTAGCCAGAAGGAACTTCACAAGTTATATAAAAACATTTATTACCTAAATAAAAGATATTTCCATAAATTTCTGTTAACATTCTCAGGCCAATAAATTTGGCAGAGTAGGGCTTAGAAACCGTGAATGAAAACCATCCAACCATTCATTGTTAGTTGCTGTTCCTTTTAATCTCATTTCAGATGCATCCATCAGATGGAAATCTTGTTTACCAGAAAGTGAACCAAGAAGGAAGGTACTGCAAATATTTTTGCTAATATGTATGCACCAGAGTATTTACACTAAACATGCACATAGATATCTTGAAGGCTTTTTGGCTGCTTTCCAGCTGCACCATCGGAAAGCCAAACTATTATAGTGTAACTTAGATCACTGATTGCATAGCACATTTGTCAAATTACAAATAGCAAACATTCAAAGCATGAGCTGAGGTGAGAAATATGTAAGCAATCCACAAACTAATGTGTATTTTACAGACCATTCATCAAATAATTTGTAATAATAAATGTGTAAGTCAAAAATCAGCTGATGACTAGATGAAAGAAGGGACTGATTTGTTTTTTTAGAAAAAATGTCCCTTCCTCACTTCACATGTTCACTCCACACAATTTGCTACTTGAAAATCTTGCCCTCAACATCCTAGCGTGTATCATTTTTGCTGGAAAAACCACCTGCTTACAAGATAATTAATAGCACCACAGCAAAATCCTCACAGAGAAAAAGTTCTGTTATCTTACAGGGTGACACAGGTTGGAAGCAGAAACAACAGCACTGCATTTACAGCCACTTGCAGTAAAAATGATGAAAAGGTTACAGTTATCTGGCTTTGATAATAGCTATCATATGCTGGTACAAATTCATATATGACTAAGCTATAGATTATTTTGTGCTGAACTCACACTCTGCACTGGGAAGTTTTACACCACCCTGCTGAACCTACAGCTTTAAAGTTTGGCATTCACTGTTGAGATCTGCTCTTGGTCTGTTAGAAACTAATGATGCTATGCCACTTCATTCTAAAGATATTCATGACATGTTGAACTCACAGTATCATTCTTCATGCGGTCCACCAGTTTCCTAACCTGTTCAGGAACATCCCTAAAAATAAAAGAAAAATAAAATCATAAAATACATTAATAAAAATTTAAAGAAATAATCCTGCATAGATAACAAAGCAAAGAGGAAAGCTGATGAATGGACATCAAAAACCACAAGATCCCAAAGAAAGTCCAATTTTCATTGAATGGAATATGCAATATAGGCAACAAAGGCTATGTTTTGAGACAGTGATGGAAAAAGAAAGAAGAGAAAATAATTAGCGTCCAACAGGCATTGGGGTACTTTGCAAATGCTGCATAGTTTCTCTTTTACCAACTATATAGAAAATGCACTTTTCTCTTCCCACCATCAGACAGATGCTATCAATAGACATAGCTCTGAAGTGTCTGTACTCATACCAATGTTATTTTATGGCCTCAAGGCACTGAAGTAGGTCTAATAAGAACTGTTACCAGTGGAAAAAAAAAATAAGATATGAATTGCACTGAAGAGGGTGCATAGTGATCTCTAGTTAATTCCCAGCTCTGGCAGACCAGGAATTAAACAACCCACAACTTTCTCAGTCTCTGCACAAACTCTTGGTCCTGATGACAATAGGGTTTGAATATACCTCCTATAAAGTGGAGATATCTTTTGTCTGATTCACAACAGGACAGCTTTCTGAGTACTGCTTGTAAAATGCTGTGGCTTTCTTGGCTGAAAATGTCAGAGAAAGTATTGCTTTTGTTGCTAATTTATTTGCAGTGTTTCTAATCCTTTTCAAAGCCCTCATCACATTTCTTGGTCTTCATGCTGCAGTTAGGATAAAAAATATTTGCCTATTAGACTTACTGTGCTCCTGCCAAAGTCCAGGGTTTGGACTTTTTTTAGTCACAAGGAATTTTATAGAAAAAAATCAAATTCCCATTAAAATTAAAAGTTTTCTTCTTACTCTGCACGAGCTCCAGCCACAGCTTGGTTTAATGCAGCATTGTTTGAATTCTGTGTTCCAGTGCCAATGGAATACCCTACCAAGGATGGGTTGAACTCACGAAGAATATCTGTGGAAAGAGACAGCACCCTGAAATATTGTTTCCTGCAGCAGGTAACAAATGAGGCAATAAAGGTTAGATTTTGTAAAAGAACATTAAAGAGCTTTAGGAGATAGTAAAAGAACATTAAAAAGTTTTAGGAGATAGCTATTTTAAAAAAATTAATTTAACCTTTAAGTATAATAAACACAGAGATTCATCACCATACAAACATTTCCCAGCCTTCAAGATTTCTGAATATCATTAATTCAGATATCTCATGACCTAACACAATCATTTGGGCTAGCAATGCCATTTTGCCTGGTAATCAAGGCTGAGTAACCATATACTCAGGAAGGAGAACCTCATGCCATCATGTTCTAACTGCAGACAGGTTGGAATCAAATCCTTTAGCCTGATGGCCCCAGATGTATTAACCCCAAAGACCCCAGATTCCCTTCTAGATCTTAGGTTACAAACCAGCCTTATAAACACCTCAGATCTAAAATGTCCTGACCTTTAAAAAGCATGTAAAATCTGATCTTGTAATGTGATTCTGCCCCTGCCTAGGACAACTTTCCCATATAGTCAAAATAGTTTCTTTAGGCTGTGAGCTAAGACCTTTGATTCATCTGTGACCAAACACATTTTAGACAGAATAATACTGAAACAACCAAAACCTAGGAATTACAAACCACATAGTTAAGTCATGCACAGCATATTACAGCCTGGTTGTTAAGCAACTTTTACTCAGCAGTGGACATTAAACACAAAGGGACTGTTTGTGTCACACTACAAATTTTAACCCTTTTCTCCTATCTCCTTTTATAATAGCAGGCACCACAGGCACACTTACTTGGTAGTGTCGTAACTGTGCTTATGTTTTCATTTCCTCCAACACTGTTAAAAAGAAAACAGGGGAAAAGAGCTGGTAAGCTACGATGGACTCGGCAAGGCAATGGACAAGGTGGCAGAGTGCCCCCTCTTGGGGTTGCCACACTTGTACAGAGCTGCTGGCTGAGCTGAGCCCACCACGCTTGGGGTGCCTGTCCCAGGGGCCACCACATCCAAGACACTCAGCTCCAGCAGAACAATCATGTTAGAAGCCCTGTGCAGCAGCTCTCCTTTCTGCTTTTTCATTTACATTTAAACACAGCTGGAAGAAATGAGATTTTTCTCAAGGCTGCCACCTTTGCTACAGTTCTACCTATTAAAATATTTATGGCTTCCATTTTTAGTTAACATGTCTAACCAAAACAAAAACATATATTTCAGAGTGTTAAGTAAATTGCCTTCCCCCCAGTTCACATTTCACTCAACTGGAAGAATACTGCTAGACCGGTGAAATTCACCATTACGTCTGTGTGCTCTTTATTCTCCTTCATGCTGAAAAAAATACCAGCATACTTGTTGCAAAAAAAATCACAATGGATTACTATTAAAGATCAAAATATAAAATGTTTGACTTAGAACACCTCTATAGTGTCTTTTTAATCTGGAACAGATTTTGAAGTGCACTAATACCATCCCAGAAAGTGCTTGAGGCCAAGCTGGATGGTGGCACCATTGTCTAGTGAAAAGTGAGCACCTGGTCGAGTGAAAAGTGTCCCTGCCCATGGCACAGGGGTTGGAACCAGATGATCTTTAAAGTACCTTCCAACCCAGACCATCCTATGATTCTCTGAATGTGTTTATTCTTCTTCTAAAGTTGCAGTGACTTAGATTGGTAAAAAACGACGAACAGAAGATCAGCCTGACAAGTTTGGTGTCAAATCATACAGTTGCAGATTAACAAGAGCGTGATTGCCTTTCTCCAGAGTGTTTCTGATGTGTCTAATAATATGCTGCTTACGTAAAAATCAGTATTGACTCAAAATTGATAAACTGTTCTCCATGAGGTAAGCAATACTGGGAAGGGAGCAGGGAAAGAGATACTGCATATGAATCAACAGCAGAAAAGATTTTTTTGTAGACCACCAATTTTAAATGAGACAAACGGGTGATGTGGGCCACACTGGGCAAGAGCAGACAGGGTACAGAAAGAGCAGGGACAGAAATGCAGAATGAGCAAGTGATGCAATGGCAATGGAATTTAGAAGACCCTGTCCTAGGGTCTTCTTCTTCCAGGGCCTTCACAACAGTGGGATTGAAAAATAACTTCTTAACAAGGACGTGATTTTTCCATGTACCCAGGTTTGTTCCAGCCATGCTACATTGTACTCTAGATAGCCACTACTTGGAGTATTGTCTTTATCACGAGTAATAGTCCAGCCATGTGCAATCATGTAAAATGTGACATCAAATCCAGTTTCCACAAGCCTTCCTTTGCTACAAAAACAACTGTATCAATCAAAACTGAAGAAAATGGATTCTCTCCCACTGAGGGGAATATTTCTGGGACTCACCTCCAAGAAAGACCTCGGTACTGAGTCAGGACATCCAGAACATCATGGGGTCTGGATCCTGCCCCATTAGCTGCCTGGAGGAAGAAGAGATCACCTTCAGAAAATAAGCATTGCTACAGTAACTAGTTCTCCGACTCATGCTAGTGAGAATAATTTAAAAGCATAATAATGAAGCAAGCTACATCATCTTCCCAAAATAGAACAGATTCCTGTTCTCAAGAAGATCAAAGGCTGAAGGTATTTTAACTCCACTCCAGTGAATTACCCTCTTCTATCAACTTCATGATTCGATCAAGTGGGGGAAAATTACTTGAGAATGTTCAAAATACTCATATAGTTCTAAATTTACATAAGGAATAAATATGACAGCAGTGGTCCTGAATTAATAATTTATTATAATGCTCCTCATATTAAAAAGTTGTACACTGATTCTATGTCTTACCCAGTTTCACCAAGAAAAAAGACTACAAGGATTTAATGTGATAATTAGCACAGAACATGTAGGAAACATGAATTATTATATGAGCAGTAAAGCAGTCACCACTGATTGGAGACTTAAACCATTCTAGGGGTAATGACCTTACATTATAACAAGGAAGAGTGTTACAATAAAAAGTTCAAGGCAAGTTCAACTCAACACACCTGATGTTCTATTGCAATTTTTATCATATATTTAGATAGTATGAATCACTATGGCTTTATAGGCTTTGGTATTATCATAGACATATATTTATCATAGTATATAGATACACAGATATACACAATGAGATGCAGAACTTTTTCTTCTTCAAGCTGCTTTCAGGACCAATACCTTTGGAGCTGCTAAAAACCAAAAGAAGTTGTAAAAACTAATTGTAAAGAAAACAATTGTTGCAAGTCCACTCCAGCAGAATAGTTTTGCTGCAACACAATCTAATCTTACATTTCTTCCTTGTGTGGCACTCTTGTGGACTTCAAATGGGAACTTTGCACTCAGATTAGACTCATAATCTGATTATCAATCAGACAAGGTGGAGTATGGGAAAAAAAAAGTGAAAAATGTGTTTGGCTCAACAGGACATGGTATGTATACCATTTCCCAGATTAAAAAATCAGAAAATTCATTGCAAGTTTTTCATTGCTAGCTTTATCAATGGCAATCTAGTGATCTTTACTTACTGTGAGTGAATCTCCCAGGGCAGCAATCACCCGAATATCTGCCGGTTTCAAATTATGAACTGGAAAAAACCCAAAGATAATGTAAGGGAAAGAAAGAAAGAAAGAAAGAAAGAAAACCACAAATTGTGATGGTTATTATAAGTTTTCTTCAGAATAAGCATAATAAAGCATTGCAAAGACAGTGTTTCTAATACTCATGACAGCATCAGTTGAGAATGACAGAGACTGATAGGTATCAAATCAGAAATTATTCTTGTACCATAGCCGGGCAGTAGCTACAGTGACAAAGGAGGCAGCAAGATTCCAGTCTTACATTTGCTCTTCTTCAAATTTCTTTTAACTGTTGAAAACAACTGAAAATCAGGCACAGCTCTGGTGCCAGCACAGAGTGGATATTTAGAACCATCATAGATTCTGAGGAAAGACAAAACCTACCCAAGGAACTCCATATGGGGTTTTGCACCTCAGACTGCATTACAAGAGCCCCCTACAGTTTTTTCACCCTGGAAATGAAGGACCTGACTTGCCTCCTATCTTTTCCACTGTCACTTCTTTCTTTGTACATGGAAGATGCAGCTGCATAAACTTTCATCACCCTTGAGGTAGTGAACTCACATCTTGCTATACAACTGCTCACACTGTTCCAAAAAGACTCTTAAAAAATACAGTCAACAAAGAGCACTTCTGCAAAAAAAAGAGTACCTCTCCTGAGTAAACCCAGTTCTGTTCTCCTTCTGTCATCAAATGAAGTAGCTCTGTGACAAAAAGGCATAGTACTATACCTGAAACTGGAACTGCATCAGAGGGAAACCGGTCAGGACAGGGAATATTTGTTCCATAATTCCTCTCCTGCAAAGACAGGGTAAGACTTCACATCAGTCTCACTATACTTTGGTCATGATAATCTATTTACATCTCAGAGCATAAGATTAATGAAATCCTCATGCATTTTGTATACAGCTACCCAGCTCAGTCTAGTTCTTTTGAAGGCAGACACAAACTCAGCCTGCTCAGTTGTGCAGCACGATGAGTGCAGCACAACTCTTGCCTACCAGTGGGGCCAGTTGTTTTAGACTCTGAGCCATGTTGTGCTCAGCTATGCAACATTTGGTGTGCCCATAACCTGAGCATCTTTTGCAAAAAGCTGTTTGAACATCCCTGAAATATCCTAGCACAAAACCATACCTCTGTCAGCAGGCCATGAGCCTGACTTCTGCACATGCAGTCCTGTATGTGCAGCCAGGGATTTGTCCTCCTGGCTCTTTTGGTTTGCAGACAAATATCCCCAAAATCTACTGTTAGTGAAGGGCTTACCATCAATATTCCAGAGCAAACCATTACACAAGACTCAAATATGTGCTTTGGCTTCAAATCTCTCTGCAGAATTCCTTAAGTAGGCTAACTTTCTTAAGGAAAAGATACTTAATATGTCTTGTCTCATTTTTCTGGATGGGGTTTTTAATTTTTAATTTAAAAACCCAACAAAACAACAACAAACATAACATAGTATTGCTCCTTACATCCTTAACACCTCTTACAATACAGCTATTTTCAAAAACCAGAGTGGTAGGTACCATTGCCTCATGGCAAGGTCTGTACAGCCCAAGTAACCAACTAAACAGATGGCACTATATAAAATGTGAACAGAAATGCATCTTACAACTCCAGTTACAAACAGGCCATTTTGTCTAGATGGTCTAGGCATTGTATTCTGAGGATGAAAATGAACATTAACAACTCACTCTGTTCCTGCTCAGGAACACCAAGTTCTGCTCAAAATTGGAGTACTCTGACTTAAAAAATGCAATCATGGGTCTTTTTCTCCACACATCTAATGTGAAACTATCTCTCAAAAATAAAAATCTGATCTAGTTTCTTTCATAGTAGCACTAAATAGCCCCATTTTCACAATCTTCTTATCCCAGGGAAAATAACCTTTTTTTCCAGATGTTTAACATAGGGTTTTACCATTGAAGGCAAGACTCACTTTGGGCTAGCTGAACACACGTACCTTACTCACACTCAACAGAATGCACCAAGGAGAGAATGTGCTATTAAATATCTGACTATTTAGTCAAGCACAGAAGTAAAACACTGGAGTTTTGCATTTAGTTTTCCCAGGTAGCATTGTTTATTTAGGCTACAGCACACTCTTACCCACCTGCCCCACTCCCTGGAACACACCCAGTCCATGGATGCAAACACTCCCACCATACCTGAGATGTTTCCCTGCGGTTTGATGTCCTCAGGGAAGATGAGTAGTTACTATTTCTATACGTAAACAAGTATGGATTTTCCTGCAGAGCAAAGAGAGTTATGTTTACCAATGCTAGTGGAAACACATCAGCTGACGTTAGTCTTCTGGCTACATTTTCCGAGAGGAAAAAAATCTTTACAGTATTAATTTCTGAATGCATTAGTGAATGCATTGCATCAGTGAAGTAAATCAGGTTAGACCTGAAAGTTAAGCCCTGGTCTGAAGCCCTGTCCTAGATATGCTCTAGGCACAGCACCACTGCCTGCCTTAAACCTAACATCAAACAAAACAAAATTTTACTTTGATATTTTAATTGCTGTTCAGAAGCTTTTGGATGCCAGTAATATTTTATCACTATCAAATTATTGAAGTCAGAGCTTAAATGCAAAAGCATACAACAACCTGTCCTTTGAACATGAGATGCTCCAATCCTGACTGCTGACAGCTCCAGGGACTAAATTAGTAAAACATGGCAGCAGAGGTAAATCACAGAAAAGCTAGATTATATAAAATATATGGATTCAATTTTATTGGTGATGCAAATTTGAATATTGATAATGTACCTCATATCTGCAATAAATAAATTCAGATTATCTAGATACATTTTTGAAAAAAAAATCTGACAGATGATTTAACTAAATTTTTTCAAAAGTTCTTTTCTTCAGAGTTTTATCTATAGAAAATAGACTCTGTGTCAATGAACTTTAGGAACAGTGCAGTTACTTGGGCAAGTGCACATTTCCAAAAACTTCAGGAAACAACGACAGTACTTGAAAACCTGGAAATTCTGCAAAGAATAAATAAAATCACAGAATAACAAGGAAACCCTTTTACCTGAGATGGACACTGGACAATTTTTGTGGCACCATAAGGCTGCTTCTGTCCAACTGGCTGCATCTGGAAAGAGAGAGAACAGAGGAATTGTACACATGCTGTGTGTGGGAAGGGAGGGAGAGCAGCAGCAATGCAAAGGCTCTACTGACTGAAGTTTTCCATCAGGCTCATATACATATATCAAAAAATATATATGTTTGAAAATTTATTCTGCTTATGATAAATATTTATCTATGCAAAATATATACATATATACTTACAGAAGCATTGAACTGAAAATGAGTCCTCTCACGTGAGCAGACTGTCTTCCCATCATGACTAAAACTGTCATCCTAACATTAATTGGCTTTTGGGAATGCTGACTCTGTAAGTGTTGATTGTTTATCCTACCTTTCAGAACTGTTTCATTATCTACATTCTTACACATGTTAGGCAACACCAAAAGGTGCTTTCCTACTCCATATAGAAACTTAATGACATTTATGTTTGTTGGCCTTCTTGAAACAAGATGGAGAGGGGATTATTGTAAGGAAAAATTATGGAATTATTCAGAAAATAATGACAGCACAAAGGGGAAAATACCAAAAGTAATCACTTCACCTGTTCAGACAGCTTGCTGAGTGCTAATTAAATTGCAATCACACACAGAGGAATTGGCTGAGGGTTTAGATCCCTCAGTGCATGCCTGCTCAGCTTGGCACCAGCAGCTGCCAGGACCAGCAGCCTGCACAAGAAACAGGATGCGAGAGATGGGAAAATACAACTGCAGCAGGCTTGATGTCACCAATACACTCCGTGCAGGAATGCTAAATGATATTTTGATTCTTCCATCAATTAAAATAATGGGGAAATTCAGAGAAATAGAGAAGAGGCTTACAGAGTTTATATTCTTTGAAAGAAACATGTGAAGAAACAGTCTGCTGTTTCTTTTTTTTTTTTGGGGGGGCGGGAGGGGGGAGCAGGCAGGGGCATAAAACCTAATTTCTCCGAAATGTGCAAAATAATTTACGTGTAAAAATAAAAAAATGAAGCTCAGAGCAAAGAGATATTGGGATACTCTTCCAACCTCCTAGGAAGAAACAAAGTAGCTATTTAATCCCATTCTTAAAAGAAAATACACTTCCAACAGAGACTCATCCCACAAAACATAGAATACATACAATATAATATTTCTTGACTAGAAATTAAGCTTAAACAAGCATTAGACACTTGCATGTGTTGGGAGTTGGGTGACAAGAACAAATTTCTGCAGAAGGCAGTGAGTTCCAGCTGGCTCAGACACGCTGCTCTCCCAGCAAAGCCTGACAGCTCCCCTGCAGCTGGTCCTGGTCAGGGAATGGGGCACAAGGGCTGAATTGTGGCTGCCAGCCCTCCCCCAAATTCCAGCACATCTGTCACGCCGGCACTTGGTGTGGGTCTGCTCTGGTACCCAGCAGCTTCTGAGGCAGCACAAACCCCTGAACACAGGAGAGCGAGGCATGGGCAGCCTCCTGCAGTGCTGTTCACTTTTGGGTTCTTGCCTGGCTTTAGTTTCTCTTTTTGGCTGCAGGATAAGCTTGGGGTTTGTTTCTGTAACACAAAAAAGTGCCAAAAGACAAGAAGCTCTTACTCTTATGAAGTTCTTTACATACATGAATGGAGCTTTGCCCTCAGATATATGACCAGAGGTAAAATGGAATAATTTTGGCAAATGCCTACGATCAGGCTCTCTGTGGTAAACACCAAAGCTGTCCAAGTACACAGCCAACCTCTCTCATCTTTTCCAATGTCATTTATCTGACTGTTCTCTGGTGTGCTTAGCAGATGAATTGCATTGGTCCTAGAGAGTTAGAACTCTTTTGGTCAAATATCCAGCCCTGCCCATGACAAGCCCTTAGGACATGATGGCTCAGCTCCTTCTTAGTCAGGCTGAAGTGCAGCCCTAAAGCAAATTGCCACTAGATTTTCAAGGCTTTGCCCTTTGGCCAATAAGCAGGTAACTATTCCAGGAAAGAGGCTGGTACCAAGCCTCAAAAAAAGGTCCTGACAGCCTGCCAGAGAGCAGGAGAAGGTAAACCTCTGAATGCACTTTCATTATGCTATGTTTCCAGGTCCACAAGTCATGACCTTGATTTCCTATCAGCTCCCAAGACTGTGCTGTGGATTATTTTTTAATTTTTAAAGAAATCAGCCTAAACTGTTGGCTGGATTTCCCAGCAGAACTGGAGAGACCTTTATCAGGCCAGGACACCTGCTAGTGCTTTTTATGCTGAAACATCTGTCATATCTCCTTTTACATCATGGCAAAATACAGGCAGACAAGGCAATCACAGGCAGACAAAGGAAGAACCCTGAAAGGCTCTTTTCTGATGATTGCTACTGTACTCTGAAAAGTCCACTTAATCAAAGAGAAGGCAGGGAAAGAGGGGGCAAAATGCATTGAGGGGATCATTACCACACAGTCTTCCTTCAAACCTGTGGCAAGATGTGGGTTTGCCACATTTTGCTCCTTCTCCAGCTCACCTAGGCTGTCCCCTCCACTAGAGGAATCATCTCACACTGAGAAAATACACTGAAACAAAGCAAAGCAGGTATTTGTCTCCCTTATGACAATTCTTTGGTTCTGGTGGCTCCACAGCATACCCAAGTTTGGGTGACTGGCCCTGATGCAGCCCAGCCTTAAAAGCACAGCTTCATTTTGCTTATGGCTTTTCATCTCTGCTATTTTCACAAAATGCTCCTGGGCAATC